TAATGCGTTTGATTTCTTTTTTGAAGTTTTTTCTTGTAACATCTGAGATTTAGAAGTTTAAGATGATCCCAAACCTTTGTTTATGTAAGAATTTTTAAACATAAAAGTGTTTGTTTCTGTTATGTTACCATAATTTGATGTATATAGTGTCCAGATCCATTTAGAAATTTAATATTTATTAATAACTGAAACTGTTTGTCTTCCTTTGGTATATAGTCTCACATATTATATTATAGCAGGCCAAGATAACATTTTGACAGCTCTTTAAGCCCACATGCAGCAGTGGGTCAGATAACCCTGTGGCAGTGACACGGGCAAATTGGCATTTGAATAAAGCCCTGGCACCACCTCAACATGTGCAGCCTCTTGTCTTAAATGTATTCCCCATGGCAGCATGGAGGAGGCAAGACCTGTGGGTCAATTTTGAACTGGCCTTACTTTGATTTTTAAAACACAAGAGACTCAGGGAAAGTACTAAACCAAAATCTCTGATTTTACTTTGCGTTTTCTGTAGTTTTTGTTTTACTGAGATGCTTTTGTAAAGGAAAAATAATACTGTGACAGTTTGGTAATTCTACAGATTTCTTAATATTTCTCCATCATGGCCTTTTACTTCACAATTTTCTGAAGTCTGAATTCAATTACAATTTTTTTTTTTTTTTTTACTAATTTAATCTCAAATGTTGTTTAACTGCTTTAAATTTATATACGTAGAGTATTAGAAACTGCAGAGATGAAAAATGTGTTTTCACGGGATTTATATTGTGAACTAAACTAAGCCTACTTTTTGTGACTTATTTGTGATGCCTTGTTGATAAATATGTGTAATAAGTATGTTTAAATATGTGTGTGCTTTTTTTTTTTTTAGCATGAAAACAACTTCTAGGCTCCATTCTTGGCACCACCTAGTCATATCTTATTTCTCTGATCCAGGCATTTCAATAAATAGGCCATCTCTTATGAAACAGGCAAAACGTCTGGTTGACTATGAGGGACAAATAAAGTAATTAGAAATGCAATACTAAGTAAGCACTACATCGTGGCAAGTTCCTTGGAAGCACTATGGGGAAAGAGGGAGTGTCATGGAAGAACAGGATTAGATTCAAAGTGTTGGGGTGGGTAGGTACATGAATAGATAAACTGTAGTACATTCAGACAATAGAATATTATTCAGTGCTTAAAAGAAATGAGCAATCAAGCCATCAAATGACAGAGGGAACATAAATGCATATTAACTAAATGAAAGGCACCACTCTGAAAATACTACATACTTAATATTGAAGGTATCCAAAGAAAAAGTCTCCCATGTTAAGAATAAACTGGTCACAGACAGGAAAGATTACTAGTAGGGCACCTGCCAGTGTTAAGAAAATTTCTGTGCAACTAGGTAAACCTTGGTCGCTGGACTGGATCTTTAATTCTTTGAGGTTCCTCCAATCCAACATTCTTCCATAGAATTACTAAAAATGAGACTTGCTATGTTCTTAAAGCCCAAGCTCAAACGAACTGAATTTTAAGGGAGAAATCTCATGCCCAAAGGTTCCCAAAACTGCTCAATGCTATAACCTGTAAACCGGAATGAAAAGTTAACATCTTCATACTGTGGGCAGCTTTTTCCAAGATGATGGAACATAACTCCCCATCCTAATGACACTTTTGCCCCTCTTTATTATTCCTTGTTTATGCCTGCCTCTTTCATTTGGCAGGATAATGGTGTAATTGAAATTTCACAATCAGTAGATAGTGTGAGTGACCAAATCCTTTAGTCCACCCAGGGGGTAATACTGGCAACATCCTCAGTAAACTTTTTGTTCAAATTGTACTAACGGTCTTTTTTAAAACAGAGTTAGCTCTCTCTGCTTTAATTCAAGCCAGTCATGGAATGCTAAATAATAGGATTGCTGTGTACCAGCTAAACAAAGAGATGTCTGTGCTTTTGCTCATACTACATGCTGTACCTGGATACATTCCTTTGGAGAATTTACACAAAATAAGAAAATAGGCCACATGGTATAACAGGTCTCACCTAATTCCTCATGATCATTTGATTTATTCAGTTGGTTGCCTTTAAGCCCAGGTTCATGGCTCAAAACTATTATGCTGAGATAGTTACTTTGTATGTTTTTTAAAGAACTTTATACCTGTTTCTTGTCAAATTTGCATAGAAATGCAACTCCTAACAGAAAAATGCTCTCCCAGCACTTTGAGATGATAGCCACTGCCAGTGGAAGAGACAAAATTGAACTTAACAATGGACTCCAGGTATACTTAGCCTGAGATCCACTCCCTCCAAACCTCTTTTGTTGCTCAAATGTGGCTAAAGGATTTTGATGGTAATTCCTAGTTACCAATGACTCCCTTCAACGTGGGGGCAGACTGGCACCAAGAGACATCAAAACCTACATACAGGATGATTGATCAGTGATGCTTTTGAGAAAGACCTTGATCAAAAGAGGAAATGTGGAAGTTGTCAAATTGAAAATGGAGTCACTTGTATTAAAACCCTGATAAACAGAGCCAGGAAAGGCCATGAAGGGGAAGGGTTCTCATATACATATGGTTGATAACAAGAACTATCAAAAGACTACCAAAATTTACAACCTGCACAAAGGCCACCACAATCTTAAACACAACACACACATACACACATACTTCTGCAAGGACATCTGCCTAGCAACTGCCTATCTAACTTATGGACCGACACCACCCTTACCACGCTTGTTATTGTTAAAGCAAAGAGTGAGGGTTTTTGTTTTGTTTTGTTTTGTTTTTTTGAGATGGAGTCTCATTACGTCACCAGGCTGGAGTGCAGTGGCACAGTCTCGGCTCACCGCAACCTCCGCCTCCTGGGTTCAAGTGATTCTCCTGCCTCAGCCTCCCGAGTAGCTGGGACTATAGGCATGTGCCACCATGCCCAGTTAATTTTTATATTTTTCATAGAGACAGTTTCACCGTTTTGGCCAGGATGGTCTTGATCTCTTGACCTCATGATCCGCCCACCTCGGCCTCCCAAAGTGCTGGGATTACAGGCGTGAGCCACCACTCCTGGCCTTCCATTCTACTTTCATAGTTAGCTGTTCTTTCCTCGTGCTCTGTGAAGAGGTGCCTTCCACCATGATTTTAAGTTTCCTGAGGGCTCCCCAGCCATGTGGAACTGAGTCAATTAAACCTTTTTTCTTTATAAATTAGCCAGTCTCAAATATTTACTTGAAGCAATGTGAGAACAGACTAATACCTGTCAAAACACCAAACCTGAAAAACTCACTAATTGGGTCTCTGCCTTCTCCTGAGCAGCTGAACACTGTTAGAGTAAATCACACAATGCCTCATTATCCCAACTGTGATATGTGCTACAAGAGCACATAACAGGAGGACCTAACCTTGTTTTCAAGTAGGGTCAACGATTTTCCAAATTATTTTTGAACTTTTTTTAAAGGAAACAATGACATTGACAACTGAGAGATGAGCCCTAAAATGAGTAGTGCCAGTCAAGGTACAAAGTATCAGCAGGGTACAGGGTAGGCATTTGATATTTCCCTGCAACTGGAACAATGTAAGTGGATGGAGTAGAGTTAAAAAAAAAAAAAAGTTTGGGAAATAAGCACATAAGACATGAATCCCTGCTATAAGGGTGCTATTTAGTATAGGAGGTCAGATTTGGAAATAATGCAGCAACAATAACAACTGATGCTGTAAGAAATATATGTCGCTGTCTGGGAAGGGTCTGGAATTGAAACCTATTTCAAAGTTAATAAGATAGCCTGTTACCTGTTTTATGGCAGTAAACTTAGATTCCTGGGTCAGTGACAAAGAACTTTGTAATTTATGGCAAAAGCAGAAGTCAGAACTTATGTTTATGCCAGTTTTCCATGTCCCCCAAGTCCCACCGGGATGGTGAAGATGGGCCTCCATGGATGTCTGCACATGCAGTCAGTGGGTTACATTATAGGAGAGGAACACTGAGTTTGGGGGATTCACTACTTTTGTAGTTAAGTGGAAGCAAGCCTACTCTTTGGGAAGAATACTTTGAGCTATGAAACGGATCATCCCAAACCACCCTGAAAAATGACCTAGGTAAAGAGCAGTTAGGACCTTACGTTCTTGGCAAACCCAGAATTTGCAGGTCCCATGACAAATGACCCCTCCCAAGAGTATGGTGGGTTCATGGGATGGAGTTTGGAGGAGTCTGGATAAATTATTCTTCAGGGTTTGAAGAAAGGCATCGCTGAAGAAGTGATGTTTAAGCTATATTTTCATCAAGCAGGCATGGAGAAAGAAGGGTATTTCAGCCTGAGCCCAGCCAAAACACAGGTGTGGAAACATGATAAGGACTTTTGTATGCTCAGAACTCTTACTAGCCTCTCATTATGACTAGAGTTTACAGTATCAGGTATGGGGAATGTGGAAGATGGGTGGGGGAGCTGTGGCCTGCTGTGAGAGATGGAGTTAGAAAGAAAATAAACTCTTGTTTACCTTGCTGAACAGTCGGAATGTTACGCAGGCAACAAGGGATCATTGAAGCTTCTTATTCTCATAGCAGAAGAATGCTATGACTGATCTGGTATATGTTTTAGAATGATAACCCTGGATTATCAGGTAAAAATGCTGTCTTAAACATAGTGTTGTATATTTGCTCCCTAAGAGTCCCTGAAAATGACAGTAACAGGATTTTTAAAGTCATAAACTCTTGAGGGTTAAGGAAAAGGAATAATGGAAATAAAATTCTGGAATCAACAGCAAAGGGCTCAGTTGACTCGAAAAAGCTGAATTGTAAACCCCCAGTGAGCAAAACCAACAAGCAATTCTATTTGTATCACAGAAACCCCTAAAAAGCTCAGAAACTGTCTTCAGGAAGTAGAAGTGAAGAGGGTAACTAAAAGGACTGGAAGTTCATTTAGGAGAGTTACATTCTTTATGCCACCCGCCCCCCCAGCCTTACTCTGAAGGCTTTTTTTTTTGTTTTTTTTTTTTTGTTTTTTTGGTTTTAAGGAGCAGAAAGTTTAATAGCCAAGAAAGAAGGGAGAAGAAAGGAAGAAGCTCCCTTCTACAGAGAAAGAGGGAGGGGGGGCTCCAAAGCCGAGAGTGGAGACCCTGCGGGATGCGGACCTGAAGGCTTTTTTTAATTGTTCAGTAGTAAAACGGGGTCTCTGTAATGGAAGACACCAGGCACCTAAAATAAGAGAATTAAATGAAAATTGTACTAAATTCTGAGACATACCCCAGCCTCCATACCCCTCCTCTCCCACTTGATTTTCAACAAACGTCCTATGGGCTCAAGATCTTCCAATCAACGTTTAAATATCCCCCCACTTACATATGAGCAGATAAGGACCACTAGACATCCTAGGAAAGCCTCTTATTATGAAAGAGCACAAAACCAACAGGAGAAAGAAAAAGGAAACTTGAGGGAAACATACTGCAAGGGAAGAAAAACTTAAAAAGATTATTAATATCAAAGAGTTGGAAGATGATACTGGAATAATAAAACATCATTTTGGCAGCAATTTAGAGTCAATCAAAGGCAAACAAAACTGAAAACGTTTTAGGAAAAAGCTGACCAAGAACACCTGAACTAAAGTAGCAGTAATGGCGATGAACATCTAAAAAACGCAGGCTCTAGGCCCCTCCTAGAAAACTAGGGGATGAACCTCTGGGGATGGAGTCCAGGAATTTGGAAATCTTCTAAAATATCACCCCTTGCAATTCTGATGTAGCCAGCCGGGTGCTGGTCTTAAGACTGAGAACTAGAGGACACAGGGTCTAATCGGATGTAAGAGGGTAAGTGGGAAGGTTAACTGGCTGGCTGGGTGGATGATGGTGTCATCCCAACATAGAAATATAGACAAGATACACTTTTGCCCACTTCCAACCTAAATACATAAATAAGGCTGTGTCAGTTTGAGTAGCCCATGGGACATCTTGGAAAAGTATAGCTAGCGTGTGGAGATATTTTTTGCTTAGATTCGTACCACAGTTTCCTTGTCACCAACAACTACGGCTGCGAGAGCGTCCTTTTTTTTTCACGTACTGTTTTGATGCAGAGCTGAATTCGCAATCCCTCCCACGGCTAAAACCCCCCAAACAAAAAAATCCCGATTACTCTGCCACCAGACAGTAGCTTTAAAACACCACTGTTACTACCCTTGACGCTTACTGTGATAATTGACATATCTCCAACTGTAACAATTACCTTGGAAACAGAAACTTGTATTCAGGCATATAGTTTACAAAACTCCACCACGGACCTGCTTTAATTTCTTTACAGGTCCTAATAAATGCTCCTGTCAAATTCCTTATCGTTTCAATCTGCTTCCCAATTAAAAGGTAAGCATCATGATGACAGGAACGTCGTTTGCAGGCGTCACTGCTGCAGCCATATCTCCAGCACGTTTGCAGAAAATGTCATTGGTTGAAGGCCAATAACTCTCCTATTTCACAATGATTTCATTTCTCTTCACATCAACCCTAGGTGATGTTTTTATTCTCACCTTATGAACGAGAATACTGCAGCTCAAAATTCAAGTCTTGCCCAGAGTTTCTTGGCAAGTACGAAAGGGTTATGGCTACAAACTGGTCAGCTCCAAAGTCCTTGCAAACCCTGTCCGAGACCATGCGCGACCCCAAGGAGCGCCTGAGCAGATAACCAAAAGTGAAAAAGCCTACAGAACTCTTCTCTCAAGTTGGCGCTTCGGCTTCAGGAGAGGCCGGGTCAGCTCGACACAGCCTCCCTGGGGTCGCTCGCACTGACGTCACATGGCGACGCGGAAGATTTGCGTGTGGGGCCTCGCTCTGGGATAGCTTTACGGCTTCTGGGAGCTGCAGCTTCGCGGTGAGAAGTATCCGCGAGGAGCCGTCCGGGAAAGGTCCGAATGCGAACAAACCTAATCCGCGAGACTTGCTGAGTGAGTCGCCGCAGGGCGCGGTGTCCGGCGGGGGTCGGTGTGAGGGAGGCGAAGTGCCGCGAGGCCTAAGCCTACTTCCACACACATTTGCTCAGCTTCAGGACCACTGCCTGGCCTCGGATTTGATACACTGGGGTCTGGCGTGCTGGTGTGGTGCAGACTAACCCTGACCTGTGTGTACACTCCTGCGTCACTAGCCTCCGTCCCTCCGTCCCTCCGTCCCTCCATTCAAATGGAAATAATGTGCTCTGCGCTCCGCTACCCCCTAGAGTGGTTTCGAAGAGCAGTGAAGAAATGTTTAGGAAGCTATAAAGTGCATTGCTACTCGCTGCATACCGTAAATTAAGAAGCAGGTGGATTGGGAAAATAAAGTTTCTAGATTATTTATCCATTTTTAAAACAACCAGTGACCTAGAGAGAGGCCCCATACCAGTAGAATTTGTTGACACTCTTAAGATCTCTATTGACTAAATAGCAGCTTCTACGGTTGTAAAGTAGCAAATATCTTAAATTTATTCCTTTTACATATAAAATTGCTTACCAGAGTTTGCTTTTTTTTTTTTCTTTTTCCTTTTTAAAGTCTCAAACATTTGGGCATTATTAAGTATTCTCTACTGCAGAGAATGTTATTTGTGATTCATGAATGAAAATGAAAACCTGAAACAACAAGAATGGATTTTACCTTAAATCTCTGTAGCAACTTTTGGGAAAATGGAAGGAAACATCTTAATTATCGTATAGATGTGTAGGTATCCTTCCGTACTACCTGTATGTTGCGAAATAAACTCATTCCTCATCATTTGAGCGCGTGCTGTAGAAAGCCTTCCTTATATTTACATAATGATCATTGTATGTCTGAGGAAAGCTTAAAATTGTATCTTGTGCATAAAAAAGAGCTAATATGTATAGAAATGCTTACTAAAATTAATGTAAGTACCAAAGTTGCCTTACATGTTTAAACTTTATATTTAGAAATCACAGCATTTTCAAACTTACAGGTCTTGGCAGTTATTGGTTCATTTTACTCTCTTTAAGATTTTTTTTTCTAATTCATGTTAATTAGTTGATATAAATGAAAATTGAGTCAGTCAGGAAATCAGTTCAAATAAATGTGAACAAATTTAAAAAAAAAAGAAAAAAAGACTTGGCCGGGCGCGGTGGCTCCGCCTGTCATCCTAACGTTTTGGTAGGCCAAAGTAGGTGGATCACTTGAGGTCAGGAGTTGAAAACCAACCTGGCCAACATGGAGAAACCCCGTCTCTACTTAAAAAAAACAAAAAACAAAAATTAGCCGGACGTGGTAGCGCGCACTTGTAATCCCAGCTACTCGGGAACTTGAGGTGGGAGAATCCCTTGAACCTGGGAGGCAGAGATTGCAGTGAGCCGAGATCGCGCTACTGCACTCCAGCCTGGGGAACAGAGCGAGACTCTGTCTCAAAAAACAAACAAAAACTTTACTGAAATAGGCTACTTGGTAAATCTTACTTGCTTTAAAATATGGAAAATAGAGTTCACAGAGGGAAAAAAATAACCTTTACCTTCAAGGAAACACTGTTTTTCTTTTACCATTGATCCCGAGTGTTTCTTTCTTGAAATACTGTTTCAAATCTTATTTTAGTATAATCTGCATTAAGAAACCCAGAGAACATTGCATTGATATACTGCTTTATTGAGTTGTAATATTATATTTTTAGTCTAAATGAACTTATTGGCAATTTAAAAATAAAATATACAGTATGAAGAGTTTACTTCTTGACAAGTATGACTTTTGTAAAATACTAATATTATAGTAGTAATAAGCACTGTTTTTATATATAGTTGTCTAGAACTGAATGAATAGGAATAGAGTTTTTTACTTTTCTTCTGTCAAAGATTGATTTTGCTTTCATCTGAGTTCCTACTGGAATTTAAAAACAAAGTTTATTTACATTAATCATTTTGTTTTATTTTTATTTCATTTACTTATTTATTTATTTTGAGATGGAGTCTTGCCCTGTCACCCAGGCTGCAGTGCAGTGGCGCCATCTTGGCTCATTGCAACCTCTGCCTCCTGGGTTCAAGTGATTCGCCTGCCTCACCCTCCAGAGTAGCTGGGATTACAGGTGCACGCCACCTTGCATGGCTAATTTTTGTATTTTTAGTACAGACAGGGTTTCACCATGTTGGCCAGGCTGATCTTGAACTCCTGATCTCAAGTGATCCGCCCCCTTTGGCCTCCCAAAGTGCTGAGATTACAGGCGTGAGCCACCGCACCTGGCCACATGAGTAATTTGAAAGTCACCATGCAATATTTTGACTAATTTATCTTAACAAATCTGTAACAGTTACTGAAGGAAAGTGAAAAAAATTAAGTGTGGGGTCCTTTAAATTTGATTTTATTGATTAATTTTTTATATATTTCATGTTTACATTGTGGTCCGTTGAGAGAGAAGTCTCCATTTTTACCTGCTTCATTTTCATCTGTGTATACCACTCCCCTCCCAAATTTTTTTGATGCTCTGACCCAGCATAGGTTGATGTATCAAGTTAATTTTCAACCTCATTGTCCTCAGTAAAGTCACCATAGACATTTCATAAGTTCAGAGATTCTTCATTTATATATCTTTGATATAATTATTTTCGTGAGACATGATTATGGAGAAGTTTCTCCCTGTCCCTCCACTGAGCTCACTAAAACTCCATCTCCCCCTAACACTTCTGTATATACACAGGGTTCTCTGCTACAAATTGATGTTTAGATAAACTTCAGTGAAATGACTCTTCAGGAATTGGTGCGTAAGGCTGCCTCCTGTTATATGGACAAAGTAGCTGTATGTTTTGATGAATGCAACAACCAGCTTCCAGTTTACTACACCTACAAGACTGTGGTTAATGCTGCTTCTGAATTATCAAATTTTCTGCTGTTACACTGTGACTTTCAAGGAATTCGGGAAATTGGTCTCTACTGCCAACCTGGAATAGACTTACCCTCTTGGATTTTAGGGTAACATTTTTTAGAACTGTAAATTTGATGTTACTCCAAGCTAATGTAATTTTTTAATAGAGTATATTGCAAGTTCCTGTTCTATTTACTATTGGATTTTTCTGTATTGTTTGGTCAATTGTAGAGAGGCTAAAGAAGTTTGCATTTCTCCTAGTATTATTTTTAATTATTTAAATTAATTATTCTGAGCTTATTTAGGAGAGACTAGAAGCTTTTACTAATAGAACATTTAAGTATCTCCAAAATATAAGGGCTTCATTAATCTGTTAAAGGAAAGCAATTATGATAATTTATAACACTTTGTTGTTAGATAAAAGAAAACAGGATTTCACAGATAACATGACTATGTTTTTTGTCCACAACTGAAAATTTAAGCACTAAGGTATTCAATAAATCAGTAAATTAGAGTTTTGGATAATAGTTGATATAGATTGAAATATGAACCTATTGGAAGACAGATATTTGCAAAATGTTTAATCATTTTGCAATGATTCCAACAGATATTTGCAAAATATTTAATTATTTAAATTGTTCTAGAATGTTATCCTCATATAGTGATTTATATTCTAGAACTCTGCAATAAATATAAACTGCCAAAGAAAGAGTTTATTCATTCTATATGTGTCTTGGTAAATTAATTATATAAGTATAAAGCAAAAGATATTCAAAAATTTACTTTTGACCAGGCACAGTGGCTCACACCTGTAAATCCCAGCACTTTGGGAGGCTGAGTCTAGAGTATTATTTAAGGCCAGGAGTTCGAGACCACCCTGGTGACTTAACAAGACCCCATCTCTATAAAACAATAAACAAAAACAACAACAACAAACATTTACTTTCACTCAATTATTGACAAAATTTATTGAGAACTTACTATGTGCAAAGATCTGGTGTCCTTAAAGTATACCTGAAACTACTTAAAATGCTTAACTTTTAAAAATCTTGTATTTCTCTATATTAAGTGATGAGAATTTAACATAGTAAATACTTAGGGTTTTCATGAAGAAAACATAAAATGACAGTGTTTATTTATTTATTTATTTTTGAGATGAAGTTTTACTCTTATTGCCCAGGTTGGAGTACAATGGTGTGATCTTGGCTCACCGCAACCTCCGCCTCCCGGGTTCAAGCAATTCTCCTGCCTCAGCCTCCCAAGTAGCTGGGATTACAGGCGCCCACCATCACCCGGCTAATTTTGTATTTTTAGTAGAGACAGGGTTTCTCCATGTTGGTCAGGCTGGTCTCGAACTCCTGACTCAGGTGATTCACCTGCCTCAACCTCCCAAAGTGCTGGGATTACAGGTGTGAGCCACTGTGCCCGGCTAAAATGACGGTGTTTATTACCAACTAAGTGTCAATGAAAACATTGGAAATTTCTGATCAGCAATAAAGCGCTCCAGAAACCATTTTTATGCTGCTACAAAAAATAAAGGGCATAGAGAAATAGAAATGCTTAAACAAGTACTAAATCAACAGACATTCTGTGCTGACTGTGTACTTTTTTCTCTAGAATTCTCCAAGTCCCAGCTGCTTATGTACCTATCGATACAGATTCACCACCATCATTATCAACTCATTTTATGAAAAAATGTAATCTAAAGTATATCCTTGTTGAAAAAAAACAAATTAATGTAAGTCTAGGTGTTTCAATTGTTTTCTGCCTGTATTACATTTATCTTTCAATTGAAGCATTCCTTCCTTCTCCCATCTGGATTCCTAAGTCTGCTAAATGTGGCAAGGTTTCTCAGTCTTTGCACTATGACATTTTTAGGGTTGAGTAATTGTTGTGAGGAGTGTTCCATACATTATAGGATATTTAGCAATATCTTTGACCGCACTCACTAGACTTCAGTAGCACTTCCCAGTCGTAACAACCAAAAATCTCCAGACATTGCCATTTGTCCCCTGGAGGGGCTCTCCACCCCTCATACTGCATTGTGAACCACTGTTCTGTGGTATGAACAGATCTGTTAGCCTTATAATAATATATTATGCATTGTTTTGAATTTCTCTTTCCAAAGTATTTCCTATACTGCAAAATTTTATAATACTTGAAACTTTCATATTTATGGCAATTACATTGGTCAGCAACACTGAAGAATTATAACAAAGCTTGCATTTTGAAAAAGAGACTGGTACTTAGAAGAGATCTTTCCAGAAAACTAAATTTATTGTTTATTGTTTTTTATTTTTAAATGATTGCCAACCAAAGATATAACCAAGAAACACTGCTTTGCGTCTTCAGCAAGACGCAGCCCATGCTTCATTATTTATTTATTATTTATAAAATACTGTTTTACTAAAGGGGAAGAACATTATAAAAATATATTCAATTTAGCCTGTTTTTGCCATTTTCTATATGAGCCAGTTTGTAATGGGGTAACTTAAATGCGTTATTCCCTCCTGCCCCCCCGCACTCTGTGTGTGTGTGTGTGTGTGTGTGTGCGCGCACGTGCCTGTCTGTGTGTATATAAGAAATATCAAGAACTTGAGATATATGGGTTACTTTCTAGAGACTCAAAAGGGTTTTTTTTTTTTGTTTTTTTTTTTTGAGCCAGAGTCTCACTCTGTTACCCAGGCTGAAGTGCAGTGGGCAGTGGTGCGATCTCAGCTTACTGCAACCTCTGCCTCCCAGGTTCAAGCGGTTCTTGTGCCTCAGCCTCCCAAGTAGCTGGAATTACAGCTGCATGCCACCACACCCGGCTAATTTTTGTATATATTTTTTTAAGTAGAGACAAGGTTTCACCATGTTGGCCAGGCTGGTCTTGAACTCCTGACCTCAAGTGATCTGCCCTCCCCGACCTCCCAAAGTGCTGAGATTACAGGCATGAGCCACCACACCTGATCTGGTTAATAAATGTTTTAAAAATAAATATTTGTTAGTGTGTAGCCGAAGTTTCCTCTACTCCTCAAATTGGTTATTCCATTGTTCGTAAGTAAGCAAAACTGAAATGGGGATGTGATGTTTATTTTTCTTAGCAACCTTAGTGAAAATTTTATAAAGGGTAACTTAGTATCAGTATTAATTGTCAATATCAAGGTATTCTTTATGACCAGTAGGAGTTGGGCATAGCAAAACCCAAGAATGAATGAGTTGAGCATAGCAAAACCTTGCTTCCTATCCCATGATTTTGATGATGGTGTAAGTGTTCTTCCTTCATTTAACACAGGAACAATCAGTATTTTTAAGCATCTACTGTACGTATCCATTAAAGCAATAGTTCTCAACTGGGGACAGTTGGCAATGTCTAGACATATTTTTTATTGTATTGATGGAAGTGGGGTGCTACTGGCATCTGGTGGATGGAGGCCAGGGATACTTCTAAAAATCCTACAATGTATAAGACAGCACTCCACAAAGAATTATCTGGTCCAAAATATCAGTAGTGTTGAAACTGAGAAACCTTGCACTAGGGACAGAATGATTGGGAGGGCATTGGTATATAAGCCTTCCAGTTTTTTATAATGTAGTTGGAGAGAAAAGTTTTTACTCCTGAACCCATAACATCTACATAGTGTGATAATTGTCCTAAGTGAAGTAAACATAACCTAGTAGATATAGTAGAATTTTAATGAGGAGGGATGATTTTGAGCTCGATCTGAAGAGTATGTAGGCCTTTAATTTTGTAAATATTACAGGCCACACCACATCCCCTACCCAATGCATACACATACACCAAACACACTAAGAAAACACTGTAGGCTTCTGGGTTGTGACCTTTTTCTCATTATTTATGTTGATTTATTTAATGTGAAAACTTAGGTTATATTTCATTATGCTGTTGTTGTCAACCTAAAAAGATATATTCAAAGAAACCTTACTTTCAACTTGTACAAATTTAGCTTAGCATCTCTTCATCCAAACTCACTTCTGCATTAATTCATCTCCATCCACCAAATCACCTGGGCCAGAAACCCAACAATTTTCTTAGACTCAGTCCACATCCAGAAAGTCACCATGTCTTATTTATTCTTTACTCATAGACCCTTTCTAACCACTCCTCTTGCAACAGAATAGTAGTTCAGGACCATATAGTATATCTGAATTACTGCAAAAGACTCATTAAATGATTCTCACTTAGCAGAATCTCATTTATTATTCTGTCCTTGATAGAGTCTAATCTATGCTATTGCCACCTTCAATTGGATCCTGTCACTTACAGGTTAAGATCTAAACTCCTTTGTGCTGACTGTACAAAATTATTAAGGATTTGCATCTCATCTCCTATCAGCTACGCACCTCACCTTTTCCCTTTCCCCCTCCCCATTCTTTACCTTAATTGGAATGCTTAATGTTCACATATCCGCTTTCCCAGGTCAGATCCTCAATGTTGGTTGTTTGCCTGAAGTGCCCATTTTTATTATTTGGAGAATAGCTCCTTATAACAAATATTACCCATGAAGCAATCTCTGACCTTCTAGGCAGAGTTAAGTTCAGCATTCTCTGTTCCCATTAACATTTCAAGCCTGCTTTATTATCATACCACACTGCATTATAATTGCTTTTATATGTCTGGTGTTTTGGAAAATAGGTTTGAAAGTAAGGACAGCACTTTGCTCTTGGAGATTTATTTATCTTTTTACCCCTGGGTATATAGCAAGTACTCCCCCCAACTCCCCAAAAAAGTCATGTTGAATGAGTAAATGAATACAGTTGGCCCTCTGTATCCAGAGGTTTCCCATCTGAGGAGTCAACCAACTGCAGACTGAAAATATTTGGGGCCTACGCCTATAATCCCAGCACTTTAGGGGACTGACGCAGGAGATCATTTGAGTCCAGGAGTTTGAGACCAGGTTGGGTAACATAGTGAGACCTTGTCTCTGCTAAAAATAAAAAAACTGTCTGGATGTGGTGGTGCACACCTGTAGTTCCAGCTACTCAAGAGGCTGAAGTGGGAAACTCACTTGAGCCCAGCTGTTCGAGGTTGCAGTCAGTTAAGATTTCACTGCTGCGGCTGGGTGGGGTGGCTCACGCCTGTAATCCCAGCACTTTGGGAGGCTGAGGCAGGTGGATCACGAGGTCAGGTGATCGAGACCATCCTGGTTAACACGGTGAAACCCTGTTTCTACTAAAAAGAATACAAAAAAATGAGCCAGGCATGGTGGCAGGTGCCTGTAGTCCCAGCTACTCGAGAGGCTGAGGAAGGAGAATGATGTGAACCTGGGAGGCAGAATTTGCAGTGAGCCGAGATTGCACCACTGCACTCCAGCCTGGGCGAAAGAGTGAGACTCTTGTCTCAAAAAAAATAAATAAATAAAGTAAAACAATAAAGATTACACCGCTGCACTCCAGCCTGGGCAACAGAGAGAGACCCTGTCTCAAGAAAAAAGAAGAAAATATTCAGAAAAAAAAAAAAACCCAGTGCAACAGTAAAAACTAATACAAATTTTAAAATATAGCAACTATTTACATAGCATTAATTAGCATAGTTTTATATTAGTTATAAGTAATCTAGAGATGATTTAAAGTACATGGGAGGATGTGCATGGGTTATATGCAAGTACAGCACCATTTTATATAAGGGACTTGAGTATGTTCAGATTTTGGCATCTGAGATGATCCTAGAACCAATTCCCCCATGGATACTGAGGGATGACTGTATTTCATATTACTTCTATATAAAGAAGAATATCTTTTAACATACTAATATTGTAAACTTTGTCCCCCATTTCACACAGAAATTTAAATCTTTTCATGAAACGTTATTGAGCCACGATACATTTACAGTAGAACATAATGACCTAGTGCTCTTCAGACTTCACTGGAAAAATACTGAGGTGAACTTGATGCTAAGTGATGGAAAAGAGAAATATGAAAAAGAAAAAATAAAAATCAGCGTAAGTTCTGAGCATGTCAATGAAGAAAAAGCAGAACACGTGGATCTGAGGCTAAAGCATTGCTTAGCGTATGTACTACATACATCAGGGACTACAGGGATACCGAAGATTGTCAGAGTGCCTCATGAGTGTATAGTACCAAATATCCAGCATTTTCAGTAAGTTCTATTCTTTGACTCTTTCTTAGAACCTATATTTTAGGCCAGGTGTGGTGGCTCATACCTGTAATCCCAGCACTTTGGGAGACTAAGGCGGCAGATCACTTGAGGTCAGGAGTTCAAGACCAGCCTGGCCAACATGGTGAAAGCTGTCTCTACTAAAAAAATACAAAAATTAGCCGGGCGTGGTGGTGGGTGCCTGTAATACCAGCTACTGGAGAGGCTGAGGCAGGAGAATTGCTTGAACCCAGGAGGTGGAGGTTGCAGTGAGCTGAGAATATGCCACTACACTCCAGCCGGAGTGACAGAGTGAGACTGTCTCAAAAACAAAACAAAATAAAACAAAAAAACCTTGTATTTTAAAGGGAAAAAATAATTTTAAAACTTTTGGTTTTATAACTCTTGTTCCTAAATTAATAATCCTAAGAAGTAATTAAGTCTTTTTTGTTTCAGCTGTATCTGAACTTTAGTTCTCTGCAGACTAGGCCCTTCACCTGTTTCATCCAAGCCTAGGGCCAGACACCGAACAAACAAATGATGTGATTAGAAGCTTTGCATCTTAATTATTAATAAAAAGGGAGAAAGGGTTTTCCTAGCAGAGGTACTAGCAGAGTTATATGAAAATGAAGGAGTTTGTCCTGCTAGAATGTCAGAGCAGGGCTGAGGAAACAGTGAAAGATCAGGAGCCTGGTATGCCCAGTTGAAGGCTGAACTTAATCCAGTAGATGATGGGGAACCATTAAAAGATTCTCATTTTATTAAGTTCCCTCTTGTAGTAGTAGTGTGGTGTTTGACTTGCTGATGTGGTCAAGAGATTAGAAATCACCAAAGTTGACATTCTTAATTTGCCAAGAGAGAGAGAAGGAAGTGAACCTTAGGGGTGTAGTCCTAGAATATCAAAGGAGGATACAGAAATAGAAACTTCATGAGACACGTATGTAATTTTATGTGATTTTAAGTTTTATGTCATGTTAAATGTTTAAGTAATATTCAAAAGTAAAATTGAATGAAAAGGGAAGAAAAAAGAATCAAGTGAAGTTAATTTTAACAGTATATTTTATTTAATTCAGTATACTCCAAAACATTACTTCAATATGTAATCAATATAAACATTACTAGTAAGGTATTTTGCATTTTTTATGCTAATCATCTTCAAAATCTGGCATGCATTTTATACTTATACATCTCAATTTGGACTAGCCACATTCTTAGTGCTCAGTGGACCTGTGGTATTGGATGGCACATGCAGGCCTGGAAAGAAGAAATGGTTAAATGCTGGTAGAGAAAGATGTCTGTTGTAATTGACAATATAGTCTTTAGTGACTTCTTAAGTCCCCAAGGTTGTAGATAGATTACATTAGGCTGGAGATAAGAGGATAGGAGATAACGAAATAGAGGTCATAAAAGTCAAATGTTATTTTCTAGAAACTGGTTTTAATGGAAAAGAGGGAATTCTGGGATGGACATAGGTGTTTTGTCTTTAAGATTGGAGAGGTTGGCTGGGTGCAGTGGCTTACGCCTGTAATCCCACACTTTGGGAGGCTACGGCAGGAGGATCGTTTGAGCCCAGGAGTTCGAAACCAGCCTGGGTAACATAGTGGTACTCCCTCTTTAAGAAACACACAAAAAATTAGCTGGGCATGGTGATCTGTGTCTATAATCCTAGCAACTCAGGAGGCTGAGGGGGAGGGATTGATTTAGCCCAGGAGGTCAAGTCTACAGTGATCCGTTGTCGCACCACTGCACTCCAGTCTGGGTGACAGAGCGAGACCCTATCTTAAAAAAAAAAAAAAAAAGATGAGCAGTTTATAGGCTGAGGGTAGGGAGTTGGTAGAAAGGGTTGGTTTGAATAATGGAGTAGTAATAGGAATATTAACAAAGGAGTAAGATACATTTAGATGGGAGGGAATGGCATTATTTAAAATACTGAGTGGAATACCTCTTTTTTTGATACCCTCAAAAAGATTAGGATAGTAAAGTACATTTCTTGGTGTTAGAGGAAGCCAGTAGGTTTTAACTTTTGTATGAGGCAGAAGGCCAAGTCATACCTAAGAGTGTGGGAGGTGAGGTGGGGATGGGGATGTAGGGAACTTGAAGAAAATGAAGCAGATAAGGAATCTGGGGGAGGTGGAGAGACAGTCGACCAACAGGCACTGGCCCGGCAGTGGTAAGAATGGTCTGTGAAATGGGAGCAAACGTTTACTTAATGAGGGTTGAAGGGTTGATTTATGACTAAATTATACAAATTTCTTGATACTTGTTTGGTGCTTCAACTTAATTCAATTGATTTGCCTGTTAGAAATCCTTTTTTGGTTTGCTTTTATGTTCTTAAGTGAGGTGGCAAATAATTCGATTCTAGAGAGATGAAATGTTAAAATATTCAATTTAAAAATTAAAACAGTAATGTTAAATTTTCTGTTTTAGACTTAGATCACTAAACTAGGGAGTACTAAATTTCAGACACATATTAGAACAATCTTATCTCCGTTGCTAGCTCCCCAAATATTACCAGAATAACCTATTAATAAGACAGTGCTAGCTGGGCGTGGTGGCACAGGTCTGTAGTCTTAGCTACTCCAGTGGCCAAAGCAGGAAGATTGCTGAGCCTAGGAGTTTGAGGCTGCAGTGAACTGTGATTGAACTTGGGCAACTGCAAGACCCTGCACTCCAGTTTGGGTGACAGAGCAAGACTCTGTCTTAAAAAAAAAAGACAACGCTGAGTTTTCTTGTGGATGTTGGTAAGAGGCAGCACTACCTCCACAGAGTATGATAGCTGCAGAAAGGGAAGGACTAGGTTTCATTTATTGAAATTTTGAAGTCTAATTTAGATAGATCTTTCAAATCAGGGGATTAATTTTAAGGCTTGGATAAGGATAACTATTTTTTAAACATTTAAAAATTAGTTGTTTTTTTGACTTTGCATAAGTTACGTAACCTTCGTGAACTTCAGTTTTCTCCATTTTAAAATGGAGGTGGAGAACTTTTCCTCTACCATCTGTGACGCAGTATCTGACTGAGAATTAAACTGACAAAAGACAGATTAAGAAAAAGAGTTTATTCCTATGCATATAGCAGTTTACAAAAGAAATGGAATTGCATTTTATTAAGTTCATTTAAATGTATTTGTAAATTTATTTGTTCATAAAATTTCTTTGTTCATAGGAAGAACAAATAAATTGTTTTGGAAAGACAAATGGGTTTTCAGGAAAATAAACAGGAGATAAGAAAGTTTGTGATAATACTTGGGTATGCAGGTGCAGTGGTCTTTCTGTCTTCTTCACAGCCATAACACTGTCTTCAGAGAGGGGATTTATGGTAGGTTTACCCTTGGTCTTCCTGGGAGTAAAAACTACTCTGAAGAAGAAGTTTATGGCAGCCTCATTTGCCAGAAGTTTCTGTTTTTAGTCAGATAAGGGAAGCTCCAAGAATGTTCTTCTGCGTTTGTTGAGTCTCAAACGTCCTTTTTTTTTTTTTTTTTTTGAGACAGAGACTCACTATCTGTCTGCAGCAATGCAGTCTCGGCTCACTGCAACCTCTGCCTCCCAGGTTCAAGCTATTCTTCTGCCTCAGCCTCCCACTACAGGCGCACTGAAGGGGTGGCCTGCCCCTCCACACCTGTGGGCTTTTCTTGTCAGGTGGAACGAGAGACTTGAGAAAAGAAAGAGACACAGAGACAAAGTATAGAGAAAGGAAAGTGGGCCCAGGGGATCGGTGCTCAGCATACAGAGGACCCATGCCGGCACCGGTCTCTGAGTTCCCTCAGTATTTATTGATAATTATCTTTACCATCTTTTAGAAAAAGGGGAAGTAGCAGGACAATAGGGTCATAGTAGGGAGAAGGTCAGCAGAAAGACATATGAATAAAGATCTCTGACATGAATAAGTTTAAGGAAAAGTGCTGTGCCTTGATGTGCATATGCAAGCATCTCCATAAACCTTTTCAGTGCATAAAGAGCAGCATTGCCGCTAGCACGTCCCACCTCCAGCCCTAAGGCGGTTTTCTCCTATCTCAGTAAATGGAACACACAATCGGGTTTTACACCGAGACGTTCCATACCCAGGGACGGGCAGGAGACAGATGCCTTTCTCTATCTCAACTGCCAAGAGGCCTTCTTTCCTCTTTTACTAATCCTCCTCAGCACAGACCCTTCACCGGTGTCAGGCTGGGGAACGATCAGGTCTTTCCCTTCCCACGAGGCCATATTTCAGACTATCACATGGGGAGAAACCTTGGACAATACCTAGCTTCCCTAGGCAGAGGTCCCTGCAGCTTTCCGCAGTGTTTGTGTCCTTGGGTACTTGAGATTAAGAGAATGGTGATGACTTTTAACAAACATACTGCCTTCAGGCACTTGTGTAACAAAGCACATCCTGCACAGCTCCAAATCCATTAAACCTTGAGTCATCACAGCACATGTCTCCTGCAAGGACAGGGTTGGGAGTAGGGTCACAGATTAACAGCATCTCAATGGCAGAAGAATTTTTCTTATTACAGAACAAAATGGAGTCTCTTACGTCTACTCCTTTCTACATAGACACAGTAACAGTCTGATCTCTCTTTCTTTTCCCCACACACGCCACCATACCTGGCTAATTTTTGTAGTTTTAGTAGAGACAGGGTTTCACTATCTTGGCCAGGCTGGTCTCGAACTCCTGACCTCAGGTATCTGCCCGCCTTGGCCTCCCAAATTGCTGGGATTACAAGCATGAGCCACCGCGCCTAGCCTCAAATGTCTTTTCCTTAAAATAATCTTCATACCAACTTGGGTTCTGAGTTAGGTTCTCACATAATCACACCTGCCTCATATGGTGGTTGGGAAAATGAGGAACAATATATTAGATACCCAACCTAAGCTTCACAAGTAATATGTTTAAATGTTTGTTGCGTTCCACTTTTTTTCTTCCTTTAAAATCTGTCTCTTCTTTTTTTTCAACTTTTCTTATATTGAATATGCATCTTAAGCTGCTTTCTTGAAATGAACTACATGGAGCATTCATCCTCTATGCATGCGTAACCTTGCCCATTTTTGTTCATAGAATTGAAAAACTAAAAATATTCTCAGAATTTAAGCTTTGTTGGAAGCCTGTTAGAAAGTTTGCTCTCCCCTGAATACCTAAGTAGGAAGCTAGACAATATATGTGAAGAATAATTCCTCTAAAACTTGAAGTTTGAGGGTAGCCTTTGTTGGGCTCAGAAAATGATACCCCAACGTATGGCACTTTGGCGTGCTGAGTACTTTGAACTGAAGGACATTGGAAGGACTTCAGAAGTAAAGTCTCTTTCTGACCTTCTGCCCTTCTTTCTCTTGCTTCCCTTTCTCCCCAAGGCAGGCCGTAGTAACCGAACCCTCTCCCTCAAAGATAGTCTTAAAACCTAGAGGCCGGGCATGGTGGCTCATGCCTGTAATCCCAGCACTTTGGGAGGCTGAGGTGGGTGGATCGTTTGAGGTCAGGAGTTTGAGACCAGCCTGATCAACATGGTTGAAACCCAGTCTCTACTAAACATTCAAAAAAATTAGCCAGGTGTGGTGGCACATGCCTGTAGTCCCAGCTACTCGGGAAGCTGAGGCAGGAGAATCGCTCGAACCCAGGAGGCAGAGATTGCAGTGAGCCGAGATCGCGCCACTGTACTCCAGCTTAGGTGACAGAGCGAGACTTTTCTCAAAAAAAAAAAAAAAAAAATCTAGAAATATAGAAATATTAATCTAACCTTTACATGTAAGAGCTGGCTGTAAAGAAATTGCTCTTACTTATCTTGTCTGAAAGTAGAACATAAGACTCATTCCAGAAAGGGTCCTGCCCTATACATGGGAGGAAGAAATGCCACGCAGAGAAGCCAGGAATTTAAAAGGACAGGCCTTGCTGGATTTTCCCACTCAGTTTATTACTCATTCCCTTTTTGTCTAATCACATTTCTACACAGCTGTCCACTCTATTGAATCTAAGCATTAAAATGGACGCTTTTCCCTTGGGTCTTTGGGTCTGCATTCTGAAGCCTCCCGTGTTTCATAAAACTTTGATTAAATTAATTTGTCATGCTTTTCTGTTGTTAAACTGTCTTTTGTTTATAAGAGTGTTGGCTGTGAGCCTTATGATGGGGAGGAAAGGTATCACAGCCTTTCGGCACCTACACCTTTAACATACAGTGAGTTTTTATTTTACCTGAGACACCGTATACATGGTTATAATTTTTAAAATGTTTATACCATATTTGATGCTCTTTTGAAATTAAGATGCTTTTAGATGTATTGGTGTTTGTGTGTTCAAATTGAAATAGTGTCATAGGCTCAACAGTGACTATCCATGCTCTATAAGATCCTAACCACATATATTCTTATTCTGCTTTTTGTTCAGATACTGAAAGAAAATGCCAAATAGAAAGGGGAGTCGGAAGTCTCTATTAAGCATCATTGAATAAGTATGACAGAATAAGGATTCTGCCAGAGGAGCAGAACCAGGAGTTAGATCAGGGATTCATTATAAGAAATTGGTTTACACAGTTGTGGGGGCTGGCTAAGCAAGTCTAAAGTCCATAGGGATCAGTTAGGAAGGGGTGATCACAAGCAGGCTGGAATCCCGTGGCCATGAGACTGTCCCAGGTGAAATCAGATTGGAGGGAAGGGAGATTAATTGCAGACCCAGCTGCTGTTTGGATCTCTTCTTCAGAGAAGGCCTAAAACCTCTTCTAAAGGCCTTCCAAGTAAATTCAGCCAACCCTGGATAATCTCGCTTTTGATTAAGTAAATCAGCTGATTAGGGACTATAGGGTTTGATTGAATAACTGCTTGAAGAAGGCGTGTGTGCTGCTAAGCAGCAGCCTCCCTTCTGTTCCTCAGCTCTCAAGAGAATATCCCTTGTCTCCTTCCCTAACGGGAAACATACTAGAGAGGGAATTCTGGGGGCAGTAGTTCAATCAAACCAAGTTGACACATCAAAAGTCATCACAGATGATAAAATATGTCTGGTAAAACATGGATATTGCTTTAAATGGCTGTTAATTCTTTCTTTTATGAAGAAGATTTCTTGAATTTTGATAGCACTATTTTGCCTAATTTAAGAGAGAAGAATAAAATCTGGCCAACATTCAGAAACTTGATAATCATAAACACGTGAACACTTTTTTAGGATATGTGCTTACTAAATGTTTGACGTTTCTTATAACTGCATTCTGTTTTGCCTTAGGGTACTTTTTGACATCACACAAGAAGATGTTTTGTTTCTGGCTTCACCTCTGACCTTTGATCCTTCTGTTGTGGAAATATTTCTTGCTCTATCAAGTGGTGCCTCTCTGCTTATTATACCAACTTCCATCAAGTTGCTCCCATCAAAATTAGCCAGTGTTCTCTTTTCCCATCATAGAGTGACTGTTTTGCAGGTACATTTTAGTAGCAGTGAATGTTTTGTTTATCATTTTTCAATATTTCAAGTGTTTTAAAGAATATTTTGTATTCCTGTAGTTCTTTACAATGGATTAATATAATCTGGTTAGGTTATCAAGGGTTATCTCCTCATGATGTGACTTTTTTTTGTTTATTTGAAAATGAAAAAAGATAAGTGAATTCTGCCTAGAAAATTATTTTATTATGTATTTTGTGCATACTATAATAACTAGAGGACCTTGACTTTGACTCAGATTTGTTGAATTTGAGAAGGATAGGCTGCCTCTTCTGTCTTAAAATCTATGTATGTTGTGTTTCTTATGAAAAACTAGTATAAGTACATTAAATTATAATCGAGTTAGGAATATAGATTATCTTATTTTTATATCAGTATACTTTACATTAACCTACAGAAACAAGTGTTTTCGAAATTTGGCCCTTTAAAATGTTATTTAAATGTGTATCTGACTGGTGATTAGGTCATGCAGGTACACAAGTATATGACTGGTACACAAGCCTTAAGTGTAAGTAGCTAAAGGTACTAGAGAATTAGCAATATTATATGCATATCATAATATGTAAATATCTTTGTTAAGTGTTTAACTGCCGTGAGCCTTAGGTTTTATCTATAAATGGAAATAATACCCATCTCAAATAGAATTAAATGAGACAGTGTAGCATAGTTCCTGATTGTGTGTGTGAGTCCATTCAGGCTACTGTAACAAAATACCATAAACTGAGTAAATTATAAACAACAGACATTTGTTTCTTACAGTTCTGGAGGTGGGAAGTCCAAGATTAAGTCATCAGAAGATTTGATCTGTCACGAGGGGCCCACTCACTGATTCATTAGACTGCAGTCTTTTCACTGGGTCCTCACATGATGGAAAGGGTTTTATAAGGGCACTAATCTCATTCATGAGGTCTCTGCCTACATGACCTAATCACTTCATAAAGGCCCTACCTCCTAATACCATTGCCCTGAAATTTAGAATTCATTCCTTCCTTCCTTCCCTCCTCTGCTCTCCATTCTTCCCTCCTCTCTCACCTCCCTTTTGCCTCTCTCTCGCGCGCGCGCGCCGCTGCTCCTTGCTTTGTCTCTTTCTGTCTCTGTTTCTTTCAACAGAGCCTTGCTGTGTTGCCCAGACTGGAGTGAAGTGGCGTGATCTTGGCTCACTCTACCTCCTGAGTTCAGGCGATTCTTGTGCCTCAGTCTCCCCGAGTAGCTGGGATTACAGGCGACCGCCACCACGCCAGGCTAATTTTTGTATTTTTGGTAGAGACAGGGTTTCACCATGTTGGCCACACTGATCTCACTCCTGGCCTCGAGTGATCCTTCTGCCTCTGCCTCCAAAGTTCTGGGATTACAGGCGTGAGCCACTGCACCTGGCCTGAGAGTTAGGATTTCAACATACCAATTTGAGGGGGAGACACAAACATTCAGAATATGGTGTGTTATATTCATGTACCTATGTGCATATGTGCATCTTAATTATTAGTTTCCATTGTCTTTTTTTTTTTTTAATTGAGACAGAGTCTCACTCTTGTCGCCCAGCCTGGAGTATACTGGTGCGACCTCAGCTCACTGCAATCTCTGTCTCCCAGGCTCAAGAGATTCTCATGCCTTGCTTGGCCTCCTGAGTAGCTGGGATTACAGGCATGTACCACCATGCCCAGCTAATTTTTGTATTTGTAATAGAGACAGCATTTTGCGATGATGGCCAGGCTGGTCTTGAACTCCTGGCCTCCTGGCCTCAAACTCCTTAATCTGCCCACCTTGGACTCCCAAAGTCCTGGGATTACAGATGTGAGCCACCACGCCCAGCTTCCACTTTCTATTTTGATAAACTAAAATTATCAGGTTTTTATCCAGGGTAACAATAATTGAGAGGATATTAAATTTCTGCTACAAAAACAAAATTTGATACTTTGAACTTTTTTAAGGCAATGTGTTTTTCATCCTAATTCGTGTATAGATATGAACTGAGTATAGCAGTGTGGCTTGTTGGGTGTGAAGGGATATAAATTCTCATCTGTTAGTGAGTCATTCCATGAATTCTGTGGATCTGGGTAAGATTTTACTATAACTGTTTTATTTACCTGTAAAATTCAAAGAGCATATTTTTCAGGGGATGTTTGCAAAGTTCCTTGACGGATTTGACTGATAGTTACTAAAAGGGAAGGAGACTTTGCTTCTATGTCAGGTCAGTGAATTCTACCTCTTTAATTCTCATCCCCTTGTTTGATGTTTTAGCACTATCTCAGATAAATTTACTTTAGCAGTTGTTTTTAACCTTTTTGGGATCAAATTTTTCTGAGAAACTGATAGAAACTTACTCTTTTCCAAGAACATGACAAATTTTGCATATAGTTTCATGGTGATTTTATTTATCTCACAATAGTTATTGGAAATATCATCAGTGGATCACATTTGACTTGGTTTGAGTAAGGAGCAGCGGTATAGAAACTGACAGGCTGTCCTTTCTTTTGTGTAAGGTACATGCCTTTTCTTATTCTGAATTTTAGCTGTGTTGTCAGGGTTCATCTTTTCTTTCCTAAGTCCAGTTTCTTTCAAATGATATATAAGTCATCAAGGATTTTTGCTTTAATATAATGTACACTTTTTTATTTACTAAAGTGGTCCTTATATATATTGTATTTACAAATAAAAACCTTACCAGACCTAATTGGACATGAAGCAGGGCTCTTAAAAGCTGTCAAGGCCAGGCGTGGCTCACGCCTGTAATCCCAACACTTTGAAAGGCCAAGGATCACCTGAGGTCAGGAGTTCAAGACCAGCCTGGCCAACATGGCAAAACCCCATCTCTACTAAAAATACAAAAATTAGCCGGGCATGGTGGTGCACACCTGTAATCCCAGCTACTCAGGAGGCTGAGGCAGGAGAATCTCTTGAATCCAGGAGGTGGAGGTTGCAGTGAGCCAAGATCACACCACTGTATTCCAGCCTGGACAACAGAGCGAGACTCAGTCTAAAACAAACCAACCAACAAACAAAAAAAGCTGTCAAACACATGCTACTAAAGCTTTGAAAATTGAAAAGAATAGAATATCTTGAGTTACTGTGGGAGAAGAAGGCCCCCAAAGTGAAATGGACTAAGTTTTGGAGGAAATTAAAGACCTCTTTTATTTGTTTCAGGAATTAAGGAGTTTCTTGGGAAAGAAAGGATTGATTTTTGGTTTATCACAAACCTGAAATATATTTGGACATTTTTTATTTACATACTCTGGGTAACAAAGTTGTATTATTTAAACTTGATGCCCTTTAAAACTTTTTTTTTTTGAGACAGGGTCTTGCTTTGTCAACCCAGGCTGGAACACAGTGGCACGCTTACGGCTCACTGCAGCCTTGACATCTGGGGCTCAAGTGATCCTCCCACCTCAGCCTCCTGAGTAGCTGGGACCACAGGTGCATATCATCATGCCTGGCTAATTTTTTAAATCTTTTGTAGAGACGGGGTCTCCCTGTGTTGCCTAGGCTGGTCTTGAACTCCTGGGTTCAAGCAGTCCTCCTGCCTCAGCCTCCTAAAGTGCTAGGATTACAGGCATGAGCCACCAGGCATGGTCTAAAAGTAAAACATTTTAGAGTAAAATATTAGGTTGATACCTAGGAACATGTCAGCATAATAATGTTTTCCATTTTTCCTGAGTTTTTCCTTAATAAACTTGGAAGAAACGTTAACATTCCCTATTTTTTCTATTATCTGCTAAGTCTCATTTTTGTATGTCTAGAATGATTTACTAGCAAAGGATGTTGACTTATATTCTGCCCCTCAATTTATCATTTCAGTTTATGAGTATCTGAAAAGTATTTCCATTTTTTTATTTTTCATTTTTTATTTTTTTGAGATGGAATCTTCCTCTGTCATGCAGGCTGGAATGCAGTGGTGTGATCTTGGCTCCTGGGTTCAAGTGATTCTCCTGCCTCAGCCTCCTGAGTAGCTAGGAATACTGGTGAGTGCCACCACACCCTGCTAATTTTTGTATTTTTAGTAGAGACAGGGTTTCAGCATGGCTAGGCTGGTCTCGAACTCCTGACCTCAAGTGATCTGCCCTCCTTGGCCTTCCAGAGTGTTGGGATTATAGGCGTGAGTCACCGCATCCGGCCTCCATTTTTTTATTTTGCTGAGTATTCATAGATGTGCATTTATTTGTTGATTTCAAAGTTGATATTATCCTTAACACCAGAAATTAGGCCACAACATTGAAATCTGGCTTAGTGAAAATGAAGAGCCAGGACCATTTTAGCCCTTATTTTGACAAGAGATTTTCATTATGATAAACCTCTTGGCATAACAGTTAAGAGCATGATTTAGGATGCCTTATAGTGTTGCCATCATAATTTATTACTAAAAACCAGAATCTTAACTGGGACATAAGTACCTATAAGGGTGTAGAGTCATTCTACTATGTATATGTTTTGACAAGCCATGACCTTAAATCATTTTTCTGAATTAAAATTCAAGTTGTCTGTTACAACTCCATATGGATTTTATTGAGAGAAACAATTTAAAAATCTTTATTCCCATGTGACTTTTGGCTCTGGCCAAGTGAAGAGATTAGCAGATTATCTTCCCCAAAAAAAGCAACTATAAAGCTGGACAAAATGGAAAAAAAAACAAACAAGTACTTCAACATTTGGAAATCAACCAAAGACATATAGCAATCTTAGAAATGTTTGTTTTTGAAAACTGCTGAATTTTGTGTAAAAATAGTGGAACTTTGTGGCATTCTGGTACGGGTCTGCTCCTATCATCCCCACCCCAATTCAGTCAACACACAGATTCTGTCTGTTTGAAGGGGCTCACTTAATTCGTAATAGTCACTAATGCCCATGACCAGCTGCAGTAGGCCAGTAGGGAGGCCTACAGCTCCTTAGCTTGAGAGGTCAACAGCTCTTCTAGCCTGAGATTGCAGTGGTGGTGGGATAAGCATGTTCCTGGCTGAGGTTATGCTACTTGGAGCTACTCAGGAGGCTGAGGCAGGAGAATCGCTTGGACCCGGGTGGTCGAGATTGCAGTTAGCCAAGATAGTGCCACTGCACTCCAGCCTGGGAGACAGAGTAAGACTCCGTCTCAAAAATAAATAAATAAATAAATAAATAAATAAAAGAACATAAGGCCGGGCACAGTGGTTCACGCCTATAATCTCAGCAATCTAGGAGGCCCAGGTGGGAGTATCATCTGAAGTTAGGAGTTTGAGACAAGCCTGTCCAACGTGGTGAAACCCCGTCTCTACTAAAAAAATACAAAAAAATTAGCCACGCATGGTGGCGGGTGGCTATAATCCCAGCTACTCAGGAGGCTGAGGCAGGAGAATCACTTGAACCCGGGAGGCTGGAGGTGGATGTTGTGGTAAGCTGAGATTGCGCCACTGCACTTCAGCCTGGGCAACAAGAGCGAAACTCCATCTCACAAAAAATAAAAAGAAGAACATATATTTTTTAATAAACAACTAAGCAGCAACATCAGTGGCCACATATATGAGGGGAGACAGACTTCATGGATTTAGTCCAGGCAGGTTACTAGCAAAGAAATGTACTAGCAAAGAAAACAAAAACAAAAACAAAAACAAAACCAAGCAACAATGACAATTTTATAAGGATAAGATTGTCAGTACATCAGTAAATACATTGTTATATCAATAACATGTAACAATTATACATGTATATCCACCTAAAACTAGCTTCCAAATACATGAAACAAAAATGGATAAAATTGAAAACATAAATAGACAACTCAATGGTTGGAGATTTTAACACCCCACTTTCAATAATTGATTGAAAAACTAGACAGAAATCAGCTAGTATCAAAGACTTGAACAGCATTATCAACTAAATGCCATATATAGAGCACTCTATCCAATGATTGCAGAATTCTTTTTAAGCACATTTCATAGGATAAGTTATATGCTAAGCCACAAAACAAGTCTCAGTAAATTTAAAGGTGACCATTTGGGATTTATCCCAGGAATGCATGTTTGGTTTAACATCCAAAAATCTATTGATGATATACACTACGTAAAGAATAATGAACAAAAAGCACATACCTATCTTAATAGATGTAGAGAAAGGATTTGACAAAATCTAACACCCATTTATAATTTTTTAAAAAGCTCCTAACAAACTAGCAATAGAAGGGAACTTTCCCAATATGAAGAAGGGCACCTACAATAGAACTACAGGTGATATGACACCATACTTGATAAAAGACTGAATGCTTTGACCCTAAGATTGGGAACAAGGTAAGCAAGTTTGCCTTTGCCACTTCAACATTCTGGTGGTTCTTGCCAGTACAATAAGGCAAGAAGGAAAAAAATTAAAGGTACTTAACGTTGGACAGGAGGAAGTACAACTCTCTCTATATGCAGTTGGTGTGATCCTGTATATAGAAAATCTTGTAGGAGGGTGGGGGTGGTGAGGAGGACTGCTAGAAATAATAAAGTTTAGTCAGGTTGGGGGATTGAAGATCAATATACAAAAATCAATTGTATTTCTCTATATATATTTGTACATATATATTTATATGTATATGTATTAAAGAAAAATCTAAAAATGAAATTAATATTTACACTAGCATCAAAAACAATAAAGTAGGAGTAAAGCTAAAGAGCAAGATTAGTACACTGAAAACTATAAAACATTGTTGATAGAAATTAGAGACCTAAATAATATTTTGTCTTTATAGATTAGAAGTTTTAATATTGTTGAGATTGCATTTCTTCCCAAATTGATCTGTAAATTAAACACACTTTCTAGCAAAATCCAATAGGCTTTTTTGTTAGAAATGAGTAAGTTGATCCTAAATTTTATATGGAACAGTGAAACCCAGTCCTGATCCGTACTATAGAATACTACTTAGCAATAAAAAGGAATAAAACTGTTGATACACTCAGCAGCAGAGATGAATTGTATCTATTATGTTGAGTGAAAGAAGCCAGGCCAAAACAGGCTACGTATTTTATGATTCCATTTATATAAATGGAATATATAATTTCTATTCATAATTTTATATATAATTTATATTAATGGAATTATACAAGATTATTCTGATCTATAGTGACAGAAAATAGATCAGTGGTTGTCTGGATAAGGGATCCAGTTGGAGAGGAGACTTATAGTGGTACACAGGTAATTTTGGGAGTGATGAATATTGCTGTCATCTGAATGTTTGTGTCTCTCCAGAATTCATATGTTGAAATCTAATCCCCAATCTGTTGTTAAGATGTGGGGCCTTCAGGAGATGACTATGTCACGAGGGTGGGAACCTAATGAATGAGATTAGTGCTCTTATAAAAGATGCCTGAGGTTGCTTGTTGGTTCCTTCTACCATGCGAGAACACAAGAAGGTACCATCTGTGAAGTAGAGTATTCACCAGACAGTAAGTCTGCCCATACCTTGATCTTGGACTTCCCTATCTTCAGAACTGTGAGCACTACATTTCTTACCTAGTATACAGTATTTTTGTTATAGTAATCCGAATCAACTAAGACAGTTATGTTCATTATTTCGATTGTGGTGATGGTTTTGCTAGTATATATGTCTATCAAAATATATTAAATTATATACTTAAAATAGTTTATTATATGTCAGTTATACCTCAATAAAGCTTTTGTTATCAATCTTTATTCATTATTGTTTTACTTAGGCACATTTTTAAAGGAAAATTTGTATTAATTATTTTTATGTACAGAAAACTCAGCAGTGTACATTTAACCCAGTTTAGTGGCAAGTTCTTTAGCGTTTGCCTTTTCGAGCTTGGCAATGTGAGCCACAGACTTGGGAGCCAGGACATTGCCACACCACTGATGGCGGATCTCATCGTGTCTGTCGTTGTAATTGGTCCTGATAGCTTCCACTAGCTTAGCCAAAACGCCTTTGTCTTCCAAGTTAACCTGTGTGAAGGCGACAGTGGTACAGGTCTTCCTGTGGACTAGACATCCCAGTCTTGCCTTCCCCTTGATAATGCACTAAGGGACCCCCATTTTACGACACAGGGCCGGCAAGAAGACAACTAACTCGATGGGATCCACGTCGTGTGCAGTCACCACCCGCTGAACTTTCTTGTTCTCCACCAAGGTGGTGACGGTGTTAACTCCTGCTGGAAGGACAGGTGGTCTCTTAGTGGGGACGTCTGCTTTGCTAGCAGCTTTCTTCTTGGCCCAGGCCAACAGCCTCTGCTTCTTTTCTTGCTTTGTCTCTGGTCTGTACTTCTGGGCCAGTTTAAGCAGCTGAGTGGCTGTTTGGTGGTCCAGGGCCTGGGTGAACTGGTTAATCACAGGCGGCACTTTGAGCTGCTTATAGAGGATGGCTGTCTGCCGCTGCAACCTGATAGAGCGGGGCCATTTCACAAAGCGGGTGAGGTCTCTTTTGGGCTGGATGTCCTGTCCAGTGCTGAAATTCTTAGGCCTTTTCTCAAACAGGGGATTCACCACTTTCTTGGCCTCCTGCTTCTTCACGACAGCAGGGGCCGGAGCCACCTTCTTTACCTTGGCCTTCTTTTCTTTCGGCATCTTGGATGGCGGGAGGAGAGAGCTACTTAGGCACGTTTTTAAACCCTTTTGTATACTTTTTATACAGAGCAAGAAAGGAAAGGTAAATTGATTTTATAGTTTTTGTCCTTTTTATCCTTAAACCTTTTTGTATGAACTGTATGATGAAATATAAGTAATATTTTTGCTTGAGTTTTTTCCTAAAGCATAAGTGATATCCACATTAGGAAGATAATGTTGGGCCGGTTGTCTCTCCCGCCTGTAATCCTAGTGCTTTGGGAGGCCAACGTGGGAGGATTGCTTGAGCCCAGGAGTCCAAGACCAGCTTAGGCAACACAGGCTCTATTTGTACAAAAAATTTTAAAAATCAGCTAGTTGTGGTGGTATGTGCCTGTAGTCCCAGCTGTTCAGGAGGCTGAGGTGGGATGATGACTTGGGCCTGGGAGGTTGAGGCTGCAGTGAGCTGTGATCATGCTACTGCACTCCAGCCTGGTCAACAGAGTGAGACCCTGTCTCAAACAAACAAACAAACAAAAACAAAAACAAGAAGATAATGTTGCACCAGTAGTTTTCCAAATGAGATTTCCCATTTGATAAACACAGCCTTAATTTCCATGTGGGCTCTAAATGTTAACTTTGAAATAATAACTACAGTGCTTACCTTTTTAAAGAAGTGAAGGGAAATAAATAAATTATTTTTAATGTATCTACAGGCAACACCAACATTGCTTAGAAGATTTGGATCTAAGCTTATCAAGTCAAATGTTTTGTCAGCCACTACTTCTCTTCGAGTATTAGCCCTTGGTGGTGAAGCGTTTCCATCATTGACAGTTCTCAGAAGCTGGAGAGGAGAAGGCAATAAAACACAAATATTTAATGTTTATGGTATCACAGAGGTATCAAGTTGGGCAACCATTTATAGGATTCCAGAGAAGATTCTTAACTCTACTTTAAAGTAAGGGTCTTCATTATACTATGTATTTCTAGGATCTTAACACTGATAGTGTTTTTGGTTTTGATAGGCGCTGGGGTAATAATTTTAGAAATATGATTGTATCTGATATTTTAAGTCAGGAATCCAGAACCTTCCTTACTATAGCTGGTGCCAAGATACTGCTACAAATTTTCGTACTAAATAGTAATGAATAACATATATGATTACCTCTCCACCTAACCTTTTCCTCTTGTCAGTCTTTGAATTATAGCATAACAAACTTTTTTTTCTTTATTTGGTACAGTATGATTTAAATATATTGGAAAATATTCTATTCAAATGAAAAATTTTAAATCTGTTCTGGGTCTTATTTTCATAGATGTGAATTGCCTGTACAACTGGGATTTCCACTTCTTGGAACAGTAGTTGAAGTCAGAGATACTAATGGCTTCACAATTCAGGAAGGCAGTGGCCAAGTATTTTTAGGTTGTTTTATATTTGTTGATTGAGAATTTTTTTTTCAAGAAAAATGATCTGATGTGTTAATTTTATTCCTTTCCTCTTTTTCTTTTGTCTATCTCATGCTTTTCAGTGATAATTTTTAATCTCATTCATATAGTCATGAAATACCAAATGTTGCAATAATTATTTCAGATAATAATATCTAATACATTAATAAAAGTAATTTAGAAACTGTGACTTGGACCTTCATATTTATATTTATAGCCAAAATTATATTTAATCAGTAGTCTAAGAATTTTTAAATCTATAAATTTTAAGAAATAAATTTCATTTTATCTCTTTGCTTATTTACTGAACTTATTGTGTCTAGTTTTATCAGATAACATTTTAAAATGAGCCCCTCTTTTAGTATTTAAATTTTGAAACTTAGTCACCAAACTTTTGGAGATGTTGTTGATTTTACGGTTTTTAATATATTTCCCTTGAATTTTTATGACATTGGTGTTTATATCTTGGGAAGGTGGCAGAAACAGAGTGTGTTTTCTTGATGATGAAGTGACAGTACCACTTGGCACAATGCGAGCTACAGGAGACTTTGTGACTGTGAAAGATGGAGAGATTTTTTTTTTGGGACGAAAAGACAGTCAGATCAAACGTCATGGCAAACGTCTTAACATTGAACTTGTGCAACAGGTAGAACTATTTAAATATTGACTATCTATTAATATATGTAAGTATTAGAAGCAGCCACCACCAATTTTCTGTGCTGGGGTCTCTATTATTTACACCTGACATTTTTGTGTTAGTGATGAATTACAATAAAAGATATGAATAATTCAGGGTGCCCCTTATCCCCAGCATGAAGAGATGGTTATTCTTTAAATAAGTGACAAATTGGATTTTAATATTTGTGAAATTAAACTGGCTTCTTTTGCTTTAGGACCTATTATTTTGAAAAATATTATGAACCCTATGTGCAAGTAATAGTAACAGTAGCAAAGCAATTTTTAAAAAAATCTCCAGTATATTCCAAAATTTAATTCAGCTGTTTTGATTTCAGACATTAAAAAGTAAGCTTTTAGGAAGCTTGTTTGTAAATATCCTCATTGGCAAATTGGGATAATCTCTCTTATAGGTTGCTGAAGAGCTTCAGCAAGTGGAGTCTTGTGCAGTTACATGGTATAATCAGGAAAAATTAATTCTCTTCATGGTGTCTAAAGATGCTTCAGTAAAAGAATACATCTTTAAAGAACTGCACAAATATCTTCCAAGTCATGCAATCCCGGATGAGCTTGTATTGATTGATTCTCTACCATTTACATCCCACGGTAAAGTAATTTAGTGCCAAATATAATTTAGTAATTCAGTGCCAAATAATACTAATTGTATTCATAACTAGCTTAATGATCACATAAATCTTTATTATTTTTGTAAATGGTACTAGCATTTATTGTGATAGACCCTCTTTTGAACACTTTGTATAATTAATTCATTTTATCTTCAGAAAATCCTGTGGATAGGTGGTATTATTCTTATTTACAGATGAGGAAAATAAGGCTTAAAGAGGTTAAGTAATCCAGTGGGGCATAGTGGTGAGCGCCTGTAGTTTCAGCCATTCAGGGAAGCTAAAGTGGAGGATGACTTGAGGCCAGGAGTTTGAGGGTACAGTATGCTATGTTTGTGCCTGTAAATAACTACTGTACTCCAGACTTGGCAACATCTAAAAAAGAGGTTAAGTAATTTTCCAAAAATCATTTTGCTAGTTAGCGGTTATATTAGTATAGTAGTCAAGGTTCTTCAGAAACAGAACCAATATATAGATATATAAAAGATTTATTGTCAGGAATTGGCCTGTGCATTTATGGAAGCTAAGAGGTCTAATCTCCCTTTGGCAAACTGGAGACTCAGGAAAGTCAGTGCTGTATTCAGTCTGTGTCCTAAGGCCTGAGAATCAGGGAAGCTGATGATGTAAATCCCTGTTTGAGGACAGGAGGAAATGAGATGTCCTAGCTTAAGCAGTGACACAAAGAGAGTGCATGCCAGGTGCGGTGACTCACGCCTGTAATCCCAGCACTTTGGGATGCCAAGGCAGATGGATCGCTTGAGGTTGGGAGTTTGAGACCAGCCTGGCCAAAATGGTGAAACCCTGTCTCTACTAAAAATACAAAAAACATTAGCCGAGTGCAGTGGTGCATGCCTGTAGTCCCAGCTACTTGGGAGGCTGAGGTGGGAGGATCGCTTGAACCCAGGAGGAGGAGGTTACAGTAAGCCACGGTTGCACCACTGCGCTCCAGCCTGGGCAACAGAGTGAGACTCCATCTCAAAAAAGAGAAAGAAAAAGGGTGCAAATTCTTCCTTTCTCTGCCTTTTTTTCTATTTTGGCCCTCAACATTTTGGATGATGCCTAATCTACTTTTCTGAGTCCTTAATTAGATTCATATACTAATCTCATCCAGAAGCACCCTCACAGACCCAGTCAGAAAAATGTTTAATCTGGGCACCCTGTGGCCCACCCACATTGACACATGCAATTAACTTATCACAGTGATAGAATTGATATTCTGTCTAGGACTGTTTTTATTTTAATTTTATTTTTATTTTTGTTTGTTTTGTCTGTCTAGCACTGTTTGACTTCAAAATATATAATCTTAATCACCATATTATATTGCCTTCCCAATTTTATTTTTATTTAACATATACTTCAAAATGCAGTAATTGCTCAGTTAATGGAACCTATTTCTTTAACTCTTGAAATTGAGATAAATTGGATAAATATTAGCTCCTTTTTTTCTTTTTCTTTCTTTTTTTTTTTTTTTTGGAGACAGGGTCTCACTTCTTCACCCAAGCTGGAATGCAGTGGGCAATCAGGGCTCACTGCTGCAGTCTCAACTTCCTGGGTTCATGTGATCCTCCCATCTAAGCCTCCTGAGTAACTAGAACTACAGGCCAATTTTTAATTTTTTTTTGTAGAGACAGAGTCTTGCTGTGTTGCCCAGGCTAGTCTTGAACACCTAGCCTCAAGCAATCCTCTCACCTCAGCCTCCCAAAGTGTTGGAGTTACAGGAGTGAGCCACTATGCCTGGCCTGTTTCTCATCTATTTCTCTCTACATTCTTGGTAGCATCAGACAACTTTTTAGAGTTCATTGTTTAAAACAAACTCTTCATACAATTTCTGTGTTGTACAAAAAAAAATGTGTATGGCTAATGAATATATAAAGGCTTTGAGTGAAATTTTAAAATGTTTTAAAACATTTGTTATTTCTCTTTTATATTAAGGCAAAATTGATGTTTCTGAGTTAAACAAGATATATTTAAACTACATAAACTTGAAGTCTGAGAATAAACTCAGTGGGAAAGAGGACCTTTGGGAAAAATTACAGTATTTGTGGAAGGTACAATTTTTAAGTTACAAAATTATTATTATAAGGAGGTCATTTTATATCTTTAGGGAATGCTATCATCCTAACAAGTTGGATACAATTTTCTGAGAATGTTATTGCTACCCAGATGTTAGGTATTATGGCTTCATTTATCCAATTTGTGTTAAAATGAAGGTTAGGTTCTCTACTGTAAGACTAGATTAAGTTCCCCACAAAGAAATTTATTGAAAGTGAAGTAGTAATAAAAGGCACAAGTAGACAAAACCTGTTTTGACATAACTTTTCTCTAAGAGGATCGGTGGAATGTAGTAACACTCTTGTCAGAGCTGAGAAAATAGCCAAATCTTGCTATAGCACAATGTGTTGTCTGTTAGGCTTAGGGCTTACATCATTATTTCAAAAGAACTTTCAGTAACAATATGTATTTCTACTTGAGAGAATTTTTAAAATATATCTCAATAAATTAATAATTTTTCTTAAATAAAATACAGATTTTTCGCTTCTAAAGGGTTCTGAAAAGAGGATGTAATTGTGTAGCCTTGTCTAAAAATAGAGGGTATCTAAGATAAAAGTCTCATCTAGTTCATTTTTAGATTCTTGGAAAGTAATTTTGATTTATATGAAGCAACCAAAGACAGATTATTCCCGTATTACAGAAATACTGGCTATTGGTATCTTGTGGGCTTTATAATTCATAAATCAGATGCTTTTGTCCCAATTTTATGGGTAAGTAAACAGCTCTAAAGGGAAGTATATTTTGTACTTTTAGAGTGACTTTGTGACAAAATTGGTAGCACAGTGATCTCCTTTAACATAAATAAAATAATTTAAAACTTTATTTTATTATTAAAAGTATTTATTTTATATTTATAATTATTATTATTATTATTTTTTTTTTGAGACAGAGATTTACTATGTTGCCCAGGTGGGAGGGCAGTGGCACAATCTTGGCTCACTGCAGCCTCCACCCCCGGGTTCAAGTGTTTGTCCTGCCTCAGCCTTCTGAGTACCTGAGATTATAGGTGGGTACCACCACGCCCAGCTAATTTTCATGTTTTAGTGGAGATGGGGTTTCACTGTGTTGGCCAGGATGGTCTCGAACTCCTGACCTCATGTGATCCGCCCGCCTCAGCCTCCCAAAGTACTGAGATTACAGGCGTGAGCCACTATGCCCAGCCTATATTTCTAATTATTAATGTAGGTACTCTCATCTCTCTATATTACCTGTAAATGTTGAAGTCTTTTGATTTTAGACCTTTACGTCACATATTTCTCTATTCTGTCATCTGTAGTCTACTCTGAATCTCTCAGAAGATCTTTTGAAGGTTCCTGATGAGTCACTGTTCTTAAATAGTGGTGGAGATTCCTTAAAGTCCATCCGGCTCCTCAGTGAAATTGAAAAACTTGTTGGTACATCAGTGCCTGGGCTTCTGGAAATTATTCTCAGCAGTTCCATTTTAGAGATTTACAACCACATTCTTCAAACAGTGTTTCCAGATGAAGATGTGACATTCAGGAAGAGTTGTGCCACAAAAAGGAAACTCAGCGACATTAATCAAGAGGAACATAGTGGAACATCTTTACATCAGAAAGCTATCATGACTTTAAGTTGCCACAATGAGATTAATGCTTTTGTTGCACTGAGCAGAGGGAGTCAAATTTTGTCTCTGTATACCACTAGGTTTTCAACAAAGTTAGGACATTGCTCTTCAGCCTATCCTTCTGATTCAGTTTCACAGACCAACATTCAAAATGTGAAAGACTTAAATTCTCCAGTTCTTATTGGAAAGTCAAAAGATCCATCCTGTGTTGTGAAAGTTTCTGAAGAGGGGAAACCTGCGATAGGGACTCAGAAAATGGAGTTACATGTGAGGTGGAGGTCAGACACAGGCAAGTGCGTAGATGCTTCACCGCTGGTTGTAATACCCGCTTTCGATAAGTCATCTACAACTGTGTACATTGGTTCCCATTCTCATAGAATGAAGGCAGTTGACTTTTACTCTGGGAAGGTGAAATGGGAACAACTTTTGGGAGATCGAATTGAATCCTCAGCATGTGTATCTAAGTGTGGAAACTTTATTGTGGTGGGTAAGTTTTTAAATTTGAAGTTTGTGGAGTTAAATTGAATTACCATACAATAATCTTCATAGGCCCAAGTTAAATTTTTAAAAAATCTATGTATGATGGGTTTGGTTGCTGTCAAAAAATAATAGTCAACCCTGTGCTGTTTAACAATGTGGGCCTTGGGGTCAAGAGTCCCTGGATTTGAACCTACCTCTATAGCTATTATGAGCTCTGTGACCTTTGGCAGGTTACTGAACCTCTTAGAATGTCACTTTCCTTGTGGGTAAAATGGGAATAATAATAAAATGTGTTCCTGCATCGCAAATACCCCAAAACTCAACAACCTAGAACAACACAGATTTATTGTCTCATAGTTTTTATGAGTTAGCAATTCAGGAGCAGCTTAGCTGGCAGTTCTGGCTATGGCCATCTGAAAGCTTGACTTGGGTTGGAAAATCTGCCAAGATAGCTCATTTGCATCACTATTAGCAGAAAGCCTCAGTTCTTTGCTGGTTCTGACAGGAAGCTTCAATTCTTGCCACATGCGCCTCTCTCTAGGCTGCTTGACTGCCCTTACAACATGGCAGCTAACATTCCTCAGAGTGAATGATCCAGGAGACAGCAGGTAAGGAGGAACAGAGTACCTTTTATGACCCAGTGTTCCAAATTCCATACCATCATTTTTTGTTTTCTTCTGTTAAGTAGAAGTGCGTAACTCAGCCAGGCGCGGTGGCTCACACCTGTAATATCAGCACTTTGATAGACCAAGGCAGACGGATCACTTGTGCCCAGGAGTTCAAGACCAGCCTGGGTAACATGCAGAAACTCTGTCTCTACAAAAAATACAAACGTTAGCTAGCTATGGTAGTACATGCCTGTAGTCCCAGCTACTTGAATGGCTGAGGTGGGAGGATCACTGGAGCCCAGTAGGTTGAGGCTGCTGTGAGTGGTGATTGTGCCACTGCACTCTGGTCTGAGCAAACAGAGCAGGACTCTGTTTCAAAATAAATAAATAAATGAAAAGTGCATAACTCAGTTCAAGCCACACTCAAGGGGAAGAGAATTAGGCTCCACCTCTTGAAAGGAAGTGCATCAAAGAATTCATGGACTTTTTTTTTTTTTGAGACAGAGTCTGGCTCTGTCGCTCAGGCTGGAGTGCAGTGGCGCAATCTCGGTTCACTGCAACCTCCGCCTCCTGGATTCAAGTGATTCTTCTGCCTCAGCCTCTTGGGTAGCTGGGACTACAGGCACACGCCACCACAGCCAGCTAATTTTTGTATTTTTAGTAGAGATGGGGTTTCACCATGTTCGTCAGGCTGGTATTAAACTCCTGACCTTGTGATCCACCTGCCTTGGCATCCCAAAGTTCTGGAATTACAGGTGTGAGCCACTTCGCCCGGCCTCCTGGACATATTTTAAAACCACCAGAATCTTTATCAAGCTTTTGGGAGGATTAAATGAGATAATTGTTTATGAATCCATTGGTGCCTTGCTAGGGATGTGCCACCACACCTGGCTAATGTTTGAAATTTTTGTAGTTAGAGTTTCTGCAGGTTGCCCAGGCTGATCTCAAACTCCTGGGCTCAAGCGATCCACCTACCTAAGCCTCCCTACAGGCGTGAGCCACCATGTCTGGTGAGCATTTTTTCAAAAGTGCTCGTGAAGTGTTAGCTACTACCTGCTGCTCAGTTTCATTAAGGTATAGGTGACTTTTACTTTATTAGGAATATGGGGGTCCTGGGTATAATATCTCCGCCTGACTACAACTCTCTTTTTACTCTCCCAGATATGTTAGGTTTCATTTTATATGCTCATGGAATCTTCATCAAAACTTTTCAGACTAAAGGCTTAGGAATAACTTTCCCTACTTGTGCTATCCTAGCAGCAATCTACTTGAATCTGAATTTGATTCTTCCTTCTTCCCCTTTAAACAACAGCATTTTGAAAATTATACTACAGGACACTTTTAGTAATACAGCTGAATGATAAGAAACTGCTGAATTGTTTCCCAAAGTGACTAAACTGTTTTGCATTTGCACCATCGATGTGTGAAGGTCCAGTTGCACCACATTCTTGCTAGTACTTAGTATTGTCAGCTTTAATTTTTTTTTTTTTATAGCCATTGAAATAATCATGAGTGGTGTTTTATTGTGGTTTTAATTTGCCTTTCCCTAGTGACTAGTGATGTTGAACATCTTTTTTTTTTTCCTTTTCTTGAGACAGGGTCTTGCTCTGTCACCCAGACTGGAGTGCAGTGGCGTGATCATGGCTCACTACACCCTCAAACTCCTGGGCTCAGGTGATCCTCCCACCTCAGCCTCTGGAGTAGCTGGGACTACAGACATGCACCACCACACCTGGTTAATGTTTGTAACTTTTGTAGAGACAGAGCTTCTGCAGGTTGCCCAGGCTGGTTTCAACCTCCTGGGCTCAAGTGATCTGCCCACCTCAGCCTCCCAAAGTGCTGGGATTACAGACATGAGCCACCATGTCTGGTGAGCACCTTTTCATAAGCTCTTTTGCTATCTGTATATCTTTTATGAAGTGTCTATTGAAATCTTTTTCCCATTTTTAAGTTTTTTAAATTGAGTTTTAAGAATTGTTTTATGTATTCTGAATACAAATAATTTATCAGATATATGTTTTGCATGTTTTCTCTCAGTCTGGGGCTTGTGTTTTATTCTCTTAGCATAGTGACATAGTGTCTTTTGAAGAGGAGTCCTTTGTTTTGATGAAGTCCACTTTAATTTTTTTAATGGGTCATGCTTTCAGTGTCATCTTAGCGATCTTCGCCTAACTCAAGTTCAAAAAATTTTCGTTTCTATTGTCTTTTGGAATTAAACTGAATTGATAGAAATCTTTACCCAGGTGAGTTCTGGGGTGCTCTACTATGTAGGACATTTCTCTTTGTCATCTCTGAGCTGGTCACTACTCTCTTGCTACTAACTAATAACTGCCAGGGGGAAAACAAGCATAAAAAGTACATTGGGAATTGGGTCTCAAATGAGTGGCAGTGGCCATAGGCAGAGCCATCTAGAGAGTGGGCGTCAATGAAATTGCCCTAAATAGCTGTCCCCAAATTCTACTTCTCCTGATTTTCATGGTCTCCAGGGAATTTCAGTGACCTTCACTTTGTAGATTTGAACAATCTCTACTTCCGGCTAGGTTATTTTGACTACACCAAGGTCAAGGACTCCTGCCCTGTCTTCTCATCCATAGCAGCAATTTGGGAAAAGTAGTTTAGTTGTTAAGAGCATAGGCTCTAGAGCTTGACTTCTTAGATTCAAATCTTGGTTCTGCCACATATGAGCTGTGTAATTTTTCCCCAGTAATTTAGTCTCTCTGTGCTTCAATTTTGTCATCTATAAAATGTGGTTATAATAGTACTTACTTCACTGTGAAGATTAAATGAATTAATAGATGTAACATACTTAGAATAGCACTTGATACATAGTAAATGCTCAATGAACATTGACTGTTAACGTTAGCACTTCTTAAACACTTTCTATGCACTGGGCATTTATTCACATTATCTGAATTGTCACAATAACCCTGGAAGTAGATGACTCCACATTCTGCAGATGAATAATTTGGGACTTAGCAACACTGGGTGATTTAAATGCCCAATGTTAGTTGTGATGAAATCTGAATCCAGATGCATCAAAAATCTCTCTCCACCACAGTGTGCTTTATTATTATTTCAGTAGTGAAGCACTTTTTAAAAATAAGTATGTAAAAAAATTAGTGAAACTTTTAAAAGATAAGATATATCTACTAAATAGATATTTTATGCAAGTGATTACTAATTCAGTTTCTGCTTTACATTGCTAAAATGTAAGCCAGATGAGCTGATCATAGAGCCTATGTATAAGAGGAGGACTGAATATAAATAGCATGATATAGGCTAAAGAATTATTTTCCAGGAATATATCTATATCAAATCTTTTGTGCTTTGTTTCTTGGCAGGCTGTTATAATGGATTAGTTTATGTTCTGAAAAGTAATAGTGGAGAAAAATACTGGATGTTTACTACTGGAGATGCTGTCAAAAGCTCAGCAACCATGGATCCAACCACAGGACTCATTTACATTGGATCTCATGACCAGCATGCATATGCTTTAGATATTTATGTAAGAATTCACCTCAAATTAGCTGGGCATGGTGGCACATGCCTGTAATGGTAGCTACTCCAGAGGCTGAGGTGGGAGGATTGCGTGAACCTGGGAGGTGGAGGTTGCAGTGAGCCAAGATTGTGACAATGTATTCCAGCCTGGGTGACAGAGTGAGACTGTATCTCAAAAAAAAAAAAAAAAAAAAAAAAATTCACCTCATTAGTCTAATATCATAAGCATAGAAGCATTAAATTTCTAATATTTAGAAGAAGTAACTGTCAGGTGCAGTTGAGCCTTGGAACAGATATTAACTATTTCCCAAGCTTATCACTGTGGTCTGGGAAGAATAAAGTATTAATTAAGTCTTAATATCTTAAGACCTTTTTAACTTCATTACCAAATTTACCACAAATAAGTGTGCTACTCAGAGTTTTGGAATGTAAAGAATTTAGGATTATCATCTTGACAGTAGAAAAAAATGACAAAGGAAGATATCAATAAGATATTTTAAGACCTGATTACATAAAAATTAAAATGTTATATAAGAATTATGAAATTAAGCTGGGAAAATTTTTGAAATAAATGTGAAAAAGGTAGAAATTCATTTATGTTTATTAATATTAATGAAAATGAAGATCAAATACAAATTAATAAAATATAAAGATCCAGATAGATAGAAAAATAAACAAGGGACATAAATACACAGGACCCCAAAGAAGAGATGACTAGTAAATGTATATAAATAGTTCATAAATTTAATAATCAAAGGAATGAAAATTAAAAACTCTGAGATAGAGAAACAAATGGTATTAGATTAGGAAACATATTCGTCATAACATTAAATGCTGATGAGAGTGGTAAGAGGTTGTAACTGGTGAGGCCTCTAATGAAAATGATTTGATTTGACCATAGGTAACAATATCATATCCTTGGTCCAATAAAATTATTTTTTTAGAAATCCTGGCAAAATAATCAGAAACATAGTCAAATATACGCATTAAGATGCCTATTTCTAAGTTGTTTATAATACCTAGAAATTCCAAAAAACATTCAATGATAAGGTAGAGAAATTATTTATGTTCATATGGGATATTATGCATTAAAATTATATTTAAATAATATTACAAAATCAGTGAGCAAAACGTGATGCCAAGTTGTATATTCAGAATGATCTCAACTATATTAAATCATGTGTGTGTATATACACACATTCTCAGATGTGTGCGCACGGACATACACACATACACCCATACCCCAAAAAGAAATGAGAAAATGCTAAACTGTTAACACTGGTTGTCTCTGGGTGGTGTCCTTTGTCTTTATATTAATCTGATTCTCCACAATAGGCATATATTTTATACTAAAGATAAAAACGTATGTTAACTAAACAGACATAATATCATGAAGGGTAGGATATATGGATTTGTTAACCACCAGCAAAAACAAATTAATTTGTTTTCTTATTTGCAGAGAAAGAAGTGTGTTTGGAAGTCAAAATGTGGAGGAACTGTCTTTTCCTCTCCGTGTTTGAACCCGATTCCACATCATTTGTATTTTGCTACATTGGGAGGACTTTTACTGGCTGTAAATCCTGTAGGCATAAAATAATACATATTGATTTTATTACCTATCTTTTCTTTAAATTTTTGAAATTTTTGCTTTGAGCTCTGAAAGTTTGAGTAGTTTTCAGTTATAGTAGTCCACATACACCAAACTAGAATTCATTAAAAATGATTGATACGAGATCTAGAAAGATAAGAAAATTTAAATTCCTGTATGTGTGTGTGTGCGTGTGTGTGTGTGTATATATATATATATATATATATATTTTTTTTTTTTTTTGACAGAGTCTTGCTCTGTTGTCCAGGCTGGAGTGCAGTGGTGCGATCTCAGCTCACTGCAACCTCCGCCTCCTGGGTTCAAAATTGACAGAATTTTTTTCATCATATTAAGAACTTTATGTCCATCATAGGGATAGCTCTTAGGTGCTAGTGTTTTTCTTTGCTGGTTTTATTGCAAGCCTTTTTCCTAGTTCTCATAAATAGCACTGATTGATTTAATATATGTATACCAGCTTTATTTATGTCTGCTTACCCCTATAGCGTTTTCTGCTATTTTAGTTCTACCCCTAGGAGATTATGAGTTTGTTTTTTAAAGGGTAACTGATTAGTAGGATGATGTAAAATGCTGTGAATTGCTTTTTCCTGTGACAGGCTACTGGGAACATTATTTGGAAACATTCCTGTGGAAAACCACTCTTCTCTTCCCCACGATGTTGCTCACAGTATGTTTGTATTGGCTGTGTAGATGGGAATTTGCTCTGCTTTACTCACTTTGGAGAACAGGTAATAGAACTAGAAATTTTTTATATATAAAATTTTATATGTCTATATAAATTTATATATAAAAAATGGACAAGAAATTTTATATATCTATAGTTCTATTTATGTATTTTTAAAAATTTATTTTTCTCAAAGGCAAAGCAGATGGTGACAACTGAAGTAGCATTTTAAACATCATTATTCAACTCATGGTGTTGAGATGTTGAGAAGTAGTTCTATTTTAATTGTGAAGCCATGCATTTCTTAATTTTTTAAAGAAGACATAGGAGATTTAAAAGATTTCTACCCAAACATTGTTACACTTCTTTTGTCATCTCTCTCCCCCAATTTTTAAAAATATTACCAGTTTTTAGCGTGTTTTATTATAACTTCTACTGAGATTATGAAAATTTAAATAAAACCCCTGGTTTCTTTTAATTGATACAGACATTTGTACCTATTTATGGGGTACATATGTGATAGTTTGTTACATGCATAGACTGTATAATGATTAAGTCAGTGTGTTTGTGGTGTCCATCACCTTGAGTACTTATCATTTCTATGTGTTGGGATCATTTCACATCTTCTCTTTTAGTTATTCTGAAATATACAACATGTTGTTGTTGGCTATAGTCATCCTACTCTGCTATTGAACATCGGAACTTATTTTTTCTTACTATATGTTTTTACTCATTAATCTGTTTTTATTTTTTTATTAGCCAACCCACCGCAACTTCTTCTTTGTTTTGAGACAGAATCTTGCTCTGTCACCAGGCTGGCCTGGGTTCAAGCAATACTCCTGCCTCAGCCTCCCAAGTAGCTGGGACTACAGGCGCATGCTGCCATGCCTGACTAATTTTTGTATTTTTAGTAGAGACGGGGTTTCACCATGTTGCCCAGTCTGGTCTCGAACTCCTGACCTCAAGTGATCCACCTGCCTCAGCCTCCCAAAGTACTGAGATTACAGGCATGAGCTACCATGCCCGGCCCCCAACTTCTAATATTCCATTTTCTTCCTCCATGAGATCAACTTTTTTAGCTCTCACATATGAGTGAGAACATGCAATATTTGTCTTTCTGGGCCTGGCTTAATTTCACTTAAGATAAAAATCTTCAATAGCCAGGCATGGTGGCTCACGCCTGTAATCCCAGCACTATGGGAGGCCGAGGCAGGAGGATCATGAAGTCAGGAGATCGAGACCATCCTGGCCAACATGGTGAAACCCTGTCTCTACTAAAATACAAACAAACAAACAAAAATTAGCTGGGCATGGTGGCATGTGCCTGTAGTCCCAGCTACTTGGGAGACTGAGGCAGGGGAATCGCTTGAACCCGGGAGGTAGAGGTTGCAGTGAGCCAAGATCGCGCCACTGCACTCCAGCCTGGCGACAGAGCAAGACTCTGTCTCAAAAAAAGAAAAAAAAAAAAAGATAAAAGTCTCCAGTTCCATCCATGTTGCTGCAAATGACATGATTTCCTTGTTTTTTATGGCCTACTAGTATTTCACTTCATCTATGTATACATTTTCTTTATCCACTCATCCATTGGTGGACACTTAAGTTTATTCCATATCTTTGCTCTTGTGAATAGTGCTGCAGTAAACATGGGAGATGGGAGTGCAGGTTGTCTCTTTGATATACTGATTTCTTGTCTTTGGGTAAATAGTAGTAGGACTGTTGGATATGATAGTTCTCTCCTTAGTTTTTTGAGAAATCTCCATACTGTTTTCCATGATGACTACACTAATTTACATACCCACTAGCAGTGTAAGTTCCTTTTTCTCCACATCCTTGCCAGCATTTGTTATGTTCTTTTCGTAACAGCCATTTTAACTGGGTAAGATGATACCTCATTGTGGTTTTGATTTGCATTTCCCTGATCATTAGTGATGTTGAGTGTTTTTTTCATATACCTGTTAGCCATTTGTATGTTTTCTTTTGAGATATGTCTGTTCATCTCCCTTGCCCACTTTTTAATAGGATTTGTTTGTTTACTGTTGTGTCGAGTTCCTCATATTCTAGATATTAGTCCCTTGTTGGATGAATAGTTTGCAAATATTTTCTCCCATTCAACAGGCTGTCTCTTCACTCTGTTGTTTCCTGTACTGTGCAGAAGCTTTTTAGCTTAATACAGTCCCACTTAACTATTTTTGTTTTTGTTTTAGGCCTTAGCCATGAAAGCTTTGCTTAGACCAGTGTCCTGAAGTGATTCCCTTATGTTTTCTTCTAGGAGTTTTAACTAGTTTTGGGTCTTATATTTAAGTCTTTAATCCATCTCGAGTTTATTTGTATATACAGTGAGAGCGAGGAGTCTGGTTTATTCTTCTGCATGTAGAGATCCAATTTTCCCAGCACCATTTATTGAAGAGGGTGGCCATTCCCCATTGCGTATTTTTGACACCTTTCTCAAATCTCAGTTGGCTGTAACTACTTGGATTTATTTCTAGGTTCTCTATTCTATTACATTGAGCTATCTATTTTTTATACCAATACAGTGCCATTTTGACTAATTTAGCCTTATTTTGAAGTCAGTCACTGTGATGCCTCCAGCTTTGTTCTTTTTACCCAATATTGCTTTGGCTATTCTGGGTCTTTTTTGGTTTCATATGAATTTTATTTTTTTTTTATTTTATTTTTTGAGATGGAGTCTCGCTCTGTTGCCCAGGCTGGAGTGCACTGGCACGATTTTGGCTCACTGAAACCTCTGCCTCCTGGGTTAGAGCCATTCTCCTGCCTCAGCCTCCTGTGTAGCTAGGATTACAGGTGTGTACCACCATGCCTAGCTAATTTTTGTATTTTTAGTAGAGACGAGGTTTCACCATGTTGGCCAGGCTGGTCTCAAACTCCTGACCTCAGGTGATCCACCCACCTTGGCCTCTCAAAGTGTTGGGATTACAGGTGTGAGCCACCGTGCCCGGCCACAACTTATAACTTTTTATCATTGCCCATAAACTCTTCCTTTCAGCGCAAGTAATTCTTTTTTCCTACATTTGGAAAAAAGAATATATAGTTTGTAATAAGATACATTGAAAACTGGTCTCACATTTTTTTTTTTTTGGAGAAAATGTCTCACTGTATCGCCCAGGGTGGAGTGCAGTAGCATGATCTTGGCTCACTGCAACCTCCGCCTCCCAGGTTCAAGTGGTTCTCCCACCTCATCCTCCCAGTAGCTGGGACTATAGGTGCCTGCCACCACACCCGGCTAATTATTGTATTTTTAATAGAGACGGGGATTCACCATGTTGGCCGGGCTGGTCTTGAACTCCTGACTGCAGGTGATCCACCTGCCTTGGCCTCCCAAAATGCTGGGATTACAGGCATGAAACACCTCGCCTGACCCAGTTTTAAATAAGATACATTTAAGGCTGGGTGTGGTGGCTCATGCCTGTAATCCCTACACTTTGGGAGGCCGAGGTGGGCGGATCACGAGGTCAGGAGATCGAGACCATCCTGGCTAACATAGTGAAACCTCAACTCTGCTAAAAACAAAAAATTAGCTGGGTATGGTGGCACGCGCTGGTAGTCCTAGCTACTCGGGAGGCTGAGGCGGGAGAATCACTTGAACCCGGTAGGCAGAGGTTGCAGTGAGCCGAGATCGTGCCACTGCACTCTAGCCTGGGCAACGGAGCAAGACTCCATCTCAAAAAAAAAAAAAAAAAAAAAGGTATATTGAAAACTCAATGTAGTTTTACCTTTGAACTCAGTGTCTCTGAATAATACTAACTCTTGGAGCTCAAAATTAATTTTACTTATTATGCACGGCAATGAATCACATGGTAACAACATTTCAGTATATTTTGTTTTAGATTTTAGATTTTACCACTGGGACAGAGATCTAGTGTGAGAGTGCTACTTTTCAGAAAAAGCCATTTTATCTGTGTATAGTTACCATTCAAATAGCCTATATCTCTTAGATTTGCATTAAGAACCTCGTAGAGCTTTAAGGGAGAATTGGCGCAATTAGATGAATGAATTATATTTATTTTTATTACTTGTTATAGGTTTGGCAGTTCTGTACCAGTGGACCAATCTTTTCATCCCCGTGTACCTCATCATCAGAGCAAAAAATATTTTTTGGTTCCCATGATTGCTTTGTCTACTGTTGTAACATGAAAGGTCACCTGCAGTGGAAATTTGAAACTACTTCAAGGGTCTATGCAACACCGTTTGCTTTCCATAACTGCAACGGCAGCAATGAAATGTTGCTGGCAGCAGCATCTACTGATGGGAAACTGTGGATCTTGGAATCTCAGAGTGGACAATTGCAAAGTGTTTATGAACTTCCTGGAGAAGTCTTCTCTTCTCCTGTGGTCCTGGAATCAATGCTCATTATTGGGTGTAGAGATAATTATGTTTATTGTCTTGATTTATTAGGTGGCAATAAAAAATAATCAAATACAGTCCTTATTTACATAACAAATGTGAGATGTTTGAAAATATTTTACCATTATAGAGCATTTGGATAGTCTTATTTAAAGATTATATTTTGGCTAAGAAACGGACACTTGTCTACTATACCTGGTTGGAGAACAACTATATTTTACTTCCCATAGGAACAACAGAAGCTTTTACAAAGAGAGAACAAAACACATCAATATATTTAGTAGCACTTTTGTTTAATTAGGTGTGATGGTTAACTTTATATGTCAGCTTGACTGGCTAAGGGATGCTCGGATAGCTGGTAAAACATTATTTCTGGGTATGTCTGTGAGGCTGTTTCTGGAAAAGATTAGCATTTGAATTTGAATCAGTAGACTGAGTAAAGAAAGTCCTCCCTCACCAGTGTGCCAATGTGGGTGGCATCATTCAAGCTGATGAGGGCCTGAATGGAACGAAAAGGTAGAGGAGGGGCAAATGCTCTGTTCTTGCTGAGATGTATCCATCTGCTCCTTCCTTTGGACATCAAAGCTCCTGGTTCTGAAGCCTTTGGACCACTCTCCTGGGTCTCCAGTGTGCAAATGGCAGATGGTGGCACTTCTCAGCCTCCATAATCACTTAAGCCAGTTTTCATAATACATCTCTCCTAATCGCTAGGTTTCTATGGAGAACCCTAATACATTAGGCTAATTTTATGTTTTTTTCTTTAAAAAAGATCCCGGCGGGGGCCGGGGGAGGATCAGAATATACTTGGTGGATTAAGAACGGTCTTTATTACATGAATTTGCCATTCATGGCAAAAGGTTTTCAAAGGCAGGATTTAGTTATCGAATTACGTTCCTTAGTTATTTTTAATGAAATACTAATGTAGACTAAAATATACACACACACCCTGCCCCACACACAGTGCAATTTCATGTTTATACGTGGTGATTTCAGGCGTTCATTGTTGCTAGCAATGCCCTTTCCTTAAAATTTTGATCTTTTGCTCATCATGGAATGGGTTTGTTTTTTGTTTTTTTGCATTAATTTTGATTTTTTTAAAAATACTGCATTAAAATAGTATTTCTCTTGATTACTAAGTTTTCTGGCAGCCAAGGCAAGTGCTCACATGCCTAACTCACTTTTCATTTCACCAGGGTCTGGCCCTGTAAGTCAGTATATCTGATGTGTGGCCATAAGCTGCAAATTCTCACGTGCTCTCAGCTGCTGCTTCTGCTGAGTAGCCCATGCTGTGAGGAGGCTGCACAATCCTTTTGTCTGAGACCCAGACCATTCAATTCCAATTTAGGATTGAGACAAACATTTTATTTGCCCCTGTTCATTATTTTTCTCTAAAAATACCTAGTAAAAAATATAATAAAACACCTTGAAGTTGTTCTTGTTCAACAAAAGCTATGCAAATATAATGAGATTGTTTTGTAGACAGTCATCGAAATCAAATTCCATCAGTGCCAAAGGTCTCGTGGGTATTTTTTATTGAAAGATCTTTTCCCTTCAATAATGGACATTTTACATTAAAACTTTATACAACCAAATATCCAAATTATATTAAAATCACACTAAGGTATTTTCATTGTCTCTAACTTTACTGTTGGTAAAAATATTAAGACACTTGTAACTAATGTTTCTGCTTTAAAATAAGCAATTAAACTAAATGTCACAAGAAGAGACAATACATACTATACATTTGCAGATAACTGGCTAAATGATAATTTAATAGTAATTAATAATGTTTGTGTAAGAAACAATTGCACTTGAAAAATTAAAAAAGTAAACAAAAAACCCTCTAGTTTTATATATAAGTCTATGAACAGAGGTTAATCATCTATAACCTTGCCAGGAGAAGTGTATGTTTGTTTAAATAAAAAAAAAAAAAAAAAAGCAAAAAAAAAAGCTTGCATTTAACATAGTAATCATTCATTTAAAAAAAAGTCTTGAACTTTTTATATGTTTTTACAGAATTTCCCCATAGTTTGTTGCTCTGAAGACTGCAACACAACTAAAGCAAAATAACACTTCATTGGTATTTAGTGCAAATTCGGGGTGATTTTGAAATGAAATGTTAAACATGTACCCTTTAGAAGCTGTTAGAAGTAAGTACTGTGACTGCCCTTTCTTCAGTATACTCTTCTTTTAAAGACTTTGATGGAAAAATTTTAACTGAGGTATTTCGCCTACTTTGTTTGGGCACAGTGATATCCCAGCCAATACAAAGTTGACACATCTACCATTTTTTGTAACTGATCTTATTTCCCCACCTGTTCCTTGCCATAATTGGGATATTGTCCAAAGCTGACAGGATGAAAGAAAAAGTCAATTCAGAAGAATTACTGTAGCATTATCATTCCAGGGCTGTAGGTGGAAACATTTCCATTGAAAAGTGTTATATTAGTGAGGAAATCATTGGAACTAACAAATGCCTACATACAAGATTTAGACATGAACATTAGTATGGAAGACGTGCAGTGAAATACTAATTGCTTGCCACAGCAATAAAAAAAAGTTACATTGATTTTTAACAGTCTGAAGGTCCAGTATATATAATATTAAATCCAACTTGCAAGAGTACAACTATCCACTTGACCACACATGCCAGCTGCTACAGTGAGGCTGAGCCATTGTTTCTAGAAAGAAAATGGTTTCTACATGGTAAATAACTTTGCCATCATCCTTTATTTAAGGTACATGGTAGAATAACAGCACATTGCATATTGAGCGAGCATAAAGGAAAGTAATGATGGATACTTAATAAAGCATGTTTTTGTAGGAGAGGAAAAAGGATGTAATTCCCTCTGCACAGAACAAAGGATGTGTACCTGTGTACCTATATTTTGGAGTAAGAATCTAAGAAAAGGGGACTATGCCAACACTATGAAATATAAGGTTAGCACCAGCAATATGTGAGTTTGCTGGTATGTCTACGTTTCACGTAAAGTAAATTTAGGGAAATAAAAGTGAATATATGTGGCTTTTAAACTGCCAAGTCCCTTCTTTGTATGCACATGTGTATGATAATAAAAAGGCCACTTAAAACTCAGATATTTGTTAAAGGTAGCAAGGTGAATGCTCAAAATTAGAAATGCTATTGGACATTTGACTCTAAATATGAATTACTCATTATAGTAAAGAAAAGACTTTCTGCAGGAAATCCTTATTACAAAGGCTCCAAATCTTGGCTTCCTGTTCATTTTCCCTAAAGACCAAAGGGAATTTTCAAACATGTAATGTCAATACCTGTTGTTTCTTCTAATAAATGGCTGGCTTGGGGGGTTGTTTTATTATTTTTCCTGTCTCACTGTTGCTTTTTGAGTGAGTGAGCCTCCCTTTCAAAGTCTGAAAAACTAGATTACATTAGGATCAGTGTTTGTCTCAAAGTTCTTAACCTTTGGGATCTATCAGAATTGATCTGAAGAGCTTTTGCCAGAATATATATTCCTGGCCCAGTCCGCACAGGCTCTGATTGAGTAGGCCTGGGTGGGAGCCTACACATCGTAACAACCACTGCCCTAGATGGAGATTCTCGAGACAGAAAGCAAACTTGTAGCTCTGATCTAGAATTGCCTTTCTTCACTACATTAAATTAAAATGTTCGCTGGGAGCCAGCTGGGCCAAATGCTTCACATGTCCTTAAGGAGGGTACTGGAATAACGGGGCCTCACACTATGAATCCACAGTGTGGTAAAAATGTGAATGGATGTGCCTTCTGTGTTACAGCTTCAGAGTGGGCAAAACTCATGAAAACTAACATGGGCACAGTTGGGAGCCAGAATGTTCCTTGTGATTCCCAGTTACTCACTGCATTCAGGAGAATGGGCGTTCTCGCTTTTAGCTAGATATGATCCTTTCACCATTACCGCAGAAAGGATAAACATTCCCACACATATGGTAGAGTAAATGTTTTGGACAAAGAAAATTAGTGCATAGAATCAAAAAACCATTACAAAAGGTTGGCAAAAGTACATATTCTGAATGGTGTGTGGGTGGGTGTGTGTGCAAGGCCATGGAATGGGCATGGGCAGGCTCTCATGAGGAGTTCTTAGCTTAGATATTTTGCTTCATGTGGTCCTGTGGACGGAATTTTCTCTTGAGAACTAGGAGGAGCTCAAGGCACCAGGACCTAGGGTTGTGCAAATCCACTCTTTACAATGAACACCACCAGTTCAGTTTCTAAACATTATTTTACAGTCTATAAAACATGCTTCTTTTCCCTAGCTTGATTTCTTTACCCCATATAAAAAATAAATAAATAAAAAGGGCAAGAGAGGAGCCAATAACTGGCAGTAGGGATTGGTGAGAGTCACTCTTTACTTAATAATCTGTGGACAGTCGCTCCAAGCCTTTGCTTTCCTTTTGGCCAAAGCCAGCCAGGCTGGTTCTGTTGACACAGGGGCAGCATCCGGGGTGGAAAACCTCTTGGTGACTTCTTTCACTAGCGGCGCTGGGGGAGCCGAATCGGAGATCTCCACTGGGTTTTGTTTTGAAGGAAAAGGAAAAAGTAAGTTCAGAGCCACATTATAAATTTTCTTTTTAATTAACAGATAAACTGTATGTATTTATCATGATAAACTGTATGTATCTGTCATGTACAACATTGTTTTGAAATATATATACATTGCAAAATAGCTAAATCTAGCTAAATAAAACATACAAAACCTCACAGTTATCATTTTTGTGGTGACAGCATTTAAAATCTACTCTCTTAGGTCTCTTGAACATACTCCTCTTATCTAACTGAAATTTTGTATCCTGTGATGAACATCTCTCCAACACCCCCCACCCCAGCCATATTTTGATTTATCAGAAGTGTGAGACAGAAAAAAGAAAACCCAGTGAAACACAGATCAGGCAAATTCCTGGACTCCCTCAGTGAGGAGAATGAAGGAAAGCAAGCTGTGTGTTTATAACTCTTGCACACAGAATTACAACAACCAAAGTAGTCAGTTTTAATTTCAAAGAATTTCCAGAAGCCTAATCTGTATAAAGAAGCTATGCCTGCATGATATCCAGTCAATCCCATGAAGAAAAAGATCAACTCAGCAGACTGGATGTATTAAGCTGGTGAGGTTAAAAGCTACCTTCCTGGCCTGACATGGTGGCTCACGCCTGTAATCCCAGCACTTTG